ACGTATCATTATTTGTAGACAAGATATTGAATCATTGTGTTCATTGACGCATCAAAACATGTATAATTATGTCCTTAAACGTTCCGTGCGATGTTATCAGCTTTTAATTGTGAACTCGCCTCTTTAGAGGTTTTTTGTTGTAAAGTCCTTTTAAAAGCAGTTTTTGTTCAGATGAAAATTAAGCTTTATAAATTTAATGCCCTTGCATGTTGAAATTATAACTTTGTTAGGATAGAAAGCAGATAATTATCGGTGGTTTAATACTTAAGTCTATGCTGTTCAGTTCTGCCAAGTGTCCTCAGCTTTAGGAACAATATAAAATGATATTTAACTTGGTGTTATTCTTGTAATTTTTAAAATTGAAAAATGAAATATTTTTCTTGCATTCATGCAGTGATCACCATCAAAATGTGAAAACAAAAATCCTCAACATAAGATAAATTCAGTAGAAAAACTGAAAATGAAATCTTTACTTTGTAAGTCATTAAGCTTGAGGAGCTGGCTATGTTACAGACTCCTGTAAACTTACCGATAGACAGATCCTGTACAGCTAGGACAGATCTGGCATACTATGGTAAATGGACATTTTGACTTTAAATTTTTATCTATAGATTTAAATAAATAATTGCTAGCTTAATGAATTTCTGTAGGATTGTTGGCCGTCAGATTCATGGTTAAACCTCTAAAGATATCTTTAGCTTAAATTTAATTCTATTCTGACAGTTCTTTGATGGTTATACAATAATTTAATGTGTCACCCTAACTTCGTGTTTATTTAAAGATTGATGAATCGATTAGATTTATAATCGTGCTATTTATTGTTATATCATAATAAAAATGATAAAAATGGAAAATGACAGCAGGTCAATATAATTTATTTAATGAGAAAATGTGAATGTACTTTTAGTACTTAGATGTTAAATATCCAGGGTCTATACAATAATGAAACTGTTTTCATGCTCAAGCAAGGTTTTAGTGCTCAAACCTAATTTCTTTTAGCTAATTACTTAAATCATGTAAAACGATCAAAAAGTCAAATGTAAATATTGATCGGGCTTAAAGTCTCATATTTTTTTTTTCTAAATCATTGACAAAATAACATTTGTGTAAATGGAACAAAAAATTAGGCTTGAGCACAAAATCCATGCTTGAGCATGAAAATGGTTTCATGAATACGAGCCCAGACTTTTTGTAGTTTATGAGTTCATGATGACATTTGATCATAATTTTTTTTACTCATGACCATCGTAGTTAAGTTTTCAGCAACAATTGAAATGAAATTCATGGGTCGTGGTTCACATTTAATGAAGTTTTCTTGTTTGATGAATTCCGTTGATCCTAGTTTCCTTTTGTTAATTTTTTTGGCCGGGAATCATCTGTTGCAAGTCTTTTTCTGATATTAAAGTAAGATTATTTTTTCTAATTTTGTGTCTCAAAATTGGAAATCTGAAAATGAAATAGTTGTTTGATAATGTGATGACCCTGCTTGTATGGCCTACTGCTTCAGGTTTACGTGGCTTTGACCTTCTCACTAGCAGGAAGATATATATCTTTTCTTTGAATTCTTCAATGACAAAATTAGCATATACATTTCTGAGATGGTATACATTTTCCCATACATCGAATTGGTAAGGACAAGATCTGGTAATCACTTGTAATACATTAGAAAAACACCGTTCACCACCATTATACCACTACAGAGGGCTGTAAACCAATTTGCAATCTAAATCATTTATACAATCTCGACAAAACACAATCTCTGATCTTGAATGCAAATATTTGGCTGTTTATATACTGACACAGCCGTACACCAGTAGGTTTAACAACCCTTTATGTTAGCTTGATATACCAGTTCCCTGCCTCTCGACGACACAAACATAAGGTTGTTAAAATACTTAGGAATATAAAAGAAATAGTCAATATTTCAAAAAATAAAAATTAATGGGAGAAATGTTTTGTGACAGGTATATAAGGTGAAATTGTCGTGATAAAGTTTGTTTTATTGAGAGGGAAAAACTTACGTAAAAATACTGAGGAAGTTATCCAAACATTGTAGTTTGGTTTATTTACATTATAAGTTTGTCACTAACTTACCGTATTGATACGGCTTAATTCACGCAATAAAGGAATATCACAGTCACATGTACAGGGCAAGGCTGGTACGTAAATAATGATTTCTCCCTACGACTTGCTTGGCATGTTTGACACACAAATAATGATTTCTCCCCAGGAGGTCAATCTGAAAAGTTAAGGGGGAGATTTTTTGCTTGGAGTTTTGTTTTCGCTATGGAACAATGGTGTGTGGTGGATCTTTGAGAGTTTGGGTACTTGGACAAGTGTTTCTCTTGGGTTTCATGTAACAGAACAGCTAGATCAATATATGTTTTCTAGATAGAGTTTCTCTTCAATAACAATATCTTCAGGATGTTTATGTGCTACAGTTAATGTAAATATGTTTTAATAATAAAAAAATACCATTCATAGAATTATGTTAAGGACTTTATTTTCAATATTTTAGGGAGGAAATATAAATTTGAAAAGAGCAAACACCACAACTTGGAGGAGTGTAGTTATGTGAAGTTATATTAGTAACTTGAATCCATTTGCAAAACAGATATATAGTCTGCAAATGGAAACCAAAGTCTGTCCATTGTGCCAAAGAGTTGATGTATTGTGGAGTTTATTCTGATACATGGATATATTTGCTGACAACACTTTCATTGTGGAAGTTTTGATGAACAATCCTGTGAAATTAAATAACATCCAAGATGGCTGCCGTGCAGATTGTGCAGTATATGGATTTACGATTTACCATCGATTCTAACCCTCCTACATACGATTATATAAATTATGAGGTAAGACTCATCAGCTTGACTTGACAGACTCATTAATCAATTAAAATCCTTCTGTTTCTTGTGTTGCCTCAATCTCATTTCTATCAACCAGACTCATACTCCTTATAAGGTCTCTTGCTCCTAACCTCTATCTCTAATATAATCCTTCTCTCTCTTGCCCTACTTCTGTCTCTCTGGCCCTACTTCTGTCTCTCTAGCCCTACTTCTGTCTCTCTGGCCGTACTTCTATCTCTCAGAATCATCCTATCTCACTCTCTAGCCCTACTTCTGTCTCTTATCTTGCTCTCTATCCCTACTTCTGTCTCTTTGGCCCTATTTTTGTCTCTTAGAATCCTTGCTCTGGCCCAGAGTCCTTCCCCTCCAACCTGGAAACCTCTCTCCCTCTGTCCTCTGACTCTTCTCTTCATTATAACAGAAAAGCTGTAAGGAAACATTGTGTGTGCTCTGACTGCCTGTTAGGTATATGATCTGTGTGTGCTAGTGTGTTTTTATGTAGTAGTTTGTTATGAACATTAATTTCTATCTTTAAAATTTTACTAAATCTTAACAAGAAGTCTGATTTGCCTTAACATGCCATGCTGACAACAACGTGTTGGGTCTATCTGAATGAGGGACATGCCCAAAACAACGGGGAAAGAAACATGCAAGTTTCTCAGATGGTGTAACAGTCTTTCATGCCAAGGGGTGTTGCATAGCTGTCAACCCTCCCTCATTAGGAGTGAGACTCTCTCATTTTTACCAAAATTTGCCAATATCCGTCAAAACTTCCTCATTCGAATCCAGACTCACACAAAATCTACATCCTGTGGTCAAAGTATCTCCTAGTTACTGCAGGGTGTGTGTAATGATCCTAGCAGGACTGAATCAAATGAATGCTTTTTGGAGTTATTTTGATAAATAAAAAGGGAAAGATATTATTGAACAAAGCAGTTTCACTCACGTTTCACACACTTTCTCTCTCATTGGAAATGTGGAATGAGGGAGATCCCCTTTATGGAGGTTTCAGAGGCTGAGGTAGCAAAATTACATCAAAAGGGATTTACAAATTAGCGCCAAATTACATCAAAGGGGATTTACAAATTAGCACCAAATTTCATCAAAGGGGATTTACAAATTAGCACCAAATTACATCAAAGGGTATTTACAAATTAGCGCCAAATTACATCAAAGGGGATTTACAACTTAGCACCAAATTTCATCAAAGGGGATTTACAATTTAGCATCAAATTACATTAAAGGGGATTTACAAATTAGCACCAAATTACATCAAAGGGGGTTTACAAATTAGCACCAATTTACATCAAAGGAGATTTACAAATTAGCACCAAATAATTACATCAAAGAGGATTTACAAATTAACACCAAATTACATCAAAGGGGATTTACAAATTAGCACCAATTTGAAAATTCTGAGGGTGGAATTTCCCTGTCCTTAATCCCTGGGCATGAAAAAGTATTCTCTTTGATTCAATTTCAATCATGAGAATTAGTTCAGAAATTAGACAAAGGCATAAAAGTTTCCAGTACTGCGGCATCAGAACAGTCCTTTCGTTGAAGAACCTGGAAAGAAACAATTATAGGTCTCAGAATAAAGAACATACATCTACATGTCTGAATCAGCCAGATAAGAAACATTCAAAGTAAAAATGGGACCTTACACTTAAATATCTTAGCTCCCATTGAGAACTTTCTATAGACAAAATTAAGGTTGTTTTATACCTCGTACTTTGAGGCTTTGGTTTAACCTGTTACAAGTAGAGCTGACTCGGACCTTCCGGCACACTTAGTTACAGTATATTTACCCATGCACTCTAACATACTTTGACACTTCGGTTTGATTCAGTGAAGAGTTGACTCAGTAGCTCTGTCCTTCCCCACATATTAGACTCTAAATACATGTGTACATAAACCAAGTAAATAGAAATTAATGTTCTCGAAAAACTGTCAAAATAAATAATCAAACTTAGGTGCTAATTAGTCAATAGAAAAAAGTTTTCATGCCTTTATGATACCTAAGTGTGTAATATTTAGGGGTAGAATTTTTTATTTCAGCTTGATTGACAAGTTCTGTATTTTATTGTTATTCCTGTTTTTTTTATGTACCTATAATCTATCATTGGACAATCGTCACCACTTTTTCTACAGGACAATTTGCATGAGACTAAATTAAAGGTCAACGAAGCAGAACAGATGGTAGATGGTGCTACGGACGCGGCTGAACAAGCCCGTCAGGAATTATTAGCGTTTCAACTCAGTGTAGGTGGCGCCACATCTTATCCATAGGTGGCGCTGTATGTCATGTTTTTCAGCTGTTCTTTATAAGCTTTTCATTTGAATCATCACTGATGCTGTTCAGCATCAGACATTTATTATAGAATATGCATCAAAAAAAATGTCTGACAACAAGTCAGAAAAAGTTTGTTTTATTAAATAAAATTTGCTAACAATGATAAATTAAATTTTGAAATGATCAAAAAGAGGATGATGAGTTTCAAGTGATATAGGAATTTTAACTGCATTATTAAGTGATTAGAATGTTCATTAGAAAGAGAAACATAATAGTAAAATGCAAACTTTTTTTCATTGGAGAGAATAGAAATATGAAAGAACAGCTGAACTAGCATATGAACTACTAGATCACCCCTACATTTCTGAATGAACTGGTTCAGATCAATGGTTGGCTCCATCCACTACACCTTGGAGGGTTGGCTAGACACTCCATGTTAACATGTCTACTGTCTAATTAATCCTATTAACATGCTCACTTGTCCGGAGTGAAATTTTACAGCAGTTGTCATTGGACGGTTTTGAATCTCAAAAAAGTCCAGTGTCGTCCAAAATGTCAAACATGGCAGCCTGATATGTTAGTTATTCAAACAGTAAGAAAAAAATGGTATCTTGATAGTAAATACTTTTTATAAAATAACTTACTCACATCAGAATGTGAAAATTATTACACAACCTGAGAAATGTGAAGACAAACCTTGAAGTGTCTGGAACACCACAGCAGACTGGCCTTCAGACTATAGGATCAATTCCTGATCTATTGACTTGAGCAAGTCTAATTTGTGGTGTCTTTATGGTCAAGAGCCATAAGACTTGCACAAGTCATTTATATAGATAGGAAAATTAGTGATAATCCTCTAAGAGACAGCTAATAAGTCTAACATCCTGGAGAAGGACTCTTTAAAAGTATAATGCACCTATATCTTGAGAAAATCCACAAGTTTAAGAAACGGAAAATTGTATATCACCACCACGTTAGAAATCATTTTCTGAACATTCTATTGACCACTATTTTCAATGGGAAAATTCAGCATAAAGGCAGATTCTGTATGTTTATACTAAAAATTGTGTAATAGAAGTAACAAATTGAAAGATGTTTGATTATTTCCTGTACAAATTAGGAGTCAAACTCACAGTTTTAGTGAACAGTCTTGTGATGTAGAAGTCCGGGCCCCTTAATGCTTAAATTTGAAAACATTCTAAAAAGACAAAATTAACGTGAATTTTAATTAAAAGGAAATTATGATATGACTTACATAGAATATAAAATGAATTCAAGCATTTCACTTTTAACTAAAGGTGAGCGTGTACGTGGAGACCATTGATACGCTCACCACTAACAAGCAGTTCGTCTCTGTGGGAGTCGTCAGTATTTAGATATTACAAAAATATTTACATAAATTAACATTTAAGGTTATTAAGGTTTATACCATATGGACTGTTGAATTTTGACTCTGTTGGAAAGGTATGCAGAAGATAATTTTCAATTTCAGTCCAATAATGCGACTCAGATTGTATGAATAAAATAAATGTAAAAACGTATCTCATAGGACAGTTTCTACAGCGTACAGAAAGTGTATAAAACTATTGATCAACAGATAGGGGCTTAAGTTGTTGTAAACGATTTTTATAAGCGAGAATATTGAATTGCATTTATGTATAATGAATAGCGTACCATATACAATGTTACAAATGATTTGCCAAGTCATGTGTGTACACTAAGGCTTTCTTGGTCATACAGAAACCTGAGACCCGAAATAAAATCTAGTATTGTTAATTTTATAGAAAAATTGTTCACAGAATAACTCACCAAACCAGATATCATATTTATTAAAACTTGAATACATTTTATTTTTGAGCAAGCTATTAAAATAATAAGGTAAGGAGAATTAAGGTTCTGTAACATCAGTAAGTCTATAAAGTCTATCTGTAACATCAGTTAGTCTATAAAGTCTATCTGTAACATCAGTTAGTCTATAAAGTCTATCTGTAACATCAGTTAGTCTATAAAGTCTATCTGTAACATCAGTTAGTCTATAAAGTCTATCTGTAACATCAGTTAGTCTATAAAGTCTATCTGTAACATCAGTTAGTCTATAAAGTCTATCTGTAACATCAGTTAGTCTATAAAGTCTATCTGTAACATCAGTTAGTCTATAAAGTCTATCTGTAACATCAGTTAGTCTATAAAGTCTATCTGTAACATCAGTTAGTCTATAAAGTCTATCTGTAACATCAGTTAGTCTATAAAGTCTATCTGTAACATCAGTTAGTCTATAAAGTCTATCTGTAACATCAGTTAGTCTATAAAGTCTATCTGTAACATCAGTTAGTCTATAAAGTCTATCTGTAACATCAGTTAGTCTATAAAGTCTATCTGTAACATCAGTTAGTCTATAAAGTCTATCTGTAACATCAGTTAGTCTATAAAGTCTATCTGTAACATCAGTTAGTCTATAAAGTCTATCTGTAACATCAGTTAGTCTATAAAGTCTATCTGTAACATCAGTTAGTCTATAAAGTCTATCTGTAACATCAGTTAGTCTATAAAGTCTATCTGTAACATCAGTTAGTCTATAAAGTCTATCTGTAACATCAGTTAGTCTATAAAGTCTATCTGTAACATCAGTTAGTCTATAAAGTCTATCTGTAACATCAGTTAGTCTATAAAGTCTATCTGTAACATCAGTTAGTCTATAAAGTCTATCTGTAACATCAGTTAGTCTATAAAGTCTATCTGTAACATCAGTTAGTCTATAAAGTCTATCTGTAACATCAGTTAGTCTATAAAGTCTATCTGTAACATCAGTTAGTCTATAAAGTCTATCTGTAACATCAGTTAGTCTATAAAGTCTATCTGTAACATCAGTTAGTCTATAAAGTCTATCTGTAACATCAGTTAGTCTATAAAGTCTATCTGTAACATCAGTTAGTCTATAAAGTCTATCTGTAACATCAGTTAGTCTATAAAGTCTATCTGTAACATCAGTTAGTCTATAAAGTCTATCTGTAACATCAGTTAGTCTATAAAGTCTATCTGTAACATCAGTTAGTCTATAAAGTCTATCTGTAACATCAGTTAGTCTATAAAGTCTATCTGTAACATCAGTTAGTCTATAAAGTCTATCTGTAACATCAGTTAGTCTATAAAGTCTATCTGTAACATCAGTTAGTCTATAAAGTCTATCTGTAACATCAGTTAGTCTATAAAGTCTATCTGTAACATCAGTTAGTCTATAAAGTCTATCTGTAACATCAGTTAGTCTATAAAGTCTATCTGTAACATCAGTTAGTCTATAAAGTCTATCTGTAACATCAGTTAGTCTATAAAGTCTATCTGTAACATCAGTTAGTCTATAAAGTCTATCTGTAACATCAGTTAGTCTATAAAGTCTATCTGTAACATCAGTTAGTCTATAAAGTCTATCTGTAACATCAGTTAGTCTATAAAGTCTATCTGTAACATCAGTTAGTCTATAAAGTCTATCTGTAACATCAGTTAGTCTATAAAGTCTATCTGTAACATCAGTTAGTCTATAAAGTCTATCTGTAACATCAGTTAGTCTATAAAGTCTATCTGTAACATCAGTTAGTCTATAAAGTCTATCTGTAACATCAGTTAGTCTATAAAGTCTATCTGTAACATCAGTTAGTCTATAAAGTCTATCTGTAACATCAGTTAGTCTATAAAGTCTATCTGTAACATCAGTTAGTCTATAAAGTCTATCTGTAACATCAGTTAGTCTATAAAGTCTATCTGTAACATCAGTTAGTCTATAAAGTCTATCTGTAACATCAGTTAGTCTATAAAGTCTATCTGTAACATCAGTTAGTCTATAAAGTCTATCTGTAACATCAGTTAGTCTATAAAGTCTATCTGTAACATCAGTTAGTCTATAAAGTCTATCTGTAACATCAGTTAGTCTATAAAGTCTATCTGTAACATCAGTTAGTCTATAAAGTCTATCTGTAACATCAGTTAGTCTATAAAGTCTATCTGTAACATCAGTTAGTCTATAAAGTCTATCTGTAACATCAGTTAGTCTATAAAGTCTATCTGTAACATCAGTTAGTCTATAAAGTCTATCTGTAACATCAGTTAGTCTATAAAGTCTATCTGTAACATCAGTTAGTCTATAAAGTCTATCTGTAACATCAGTTAGTCTATAAAGTCTGTCTGTAACATCAGTTAGTCTATAATGTCTATCTGTTACATCAGTTAGTCTATACAGTCTATCTGTAACATCAGTTAGTCTATAAAGTCTGTCTGTAACATCAGTTAGTCTATAAAGTATATCTGTAATACCAGTTAGTTTATAAAGTCTGTCTGTAACATCAGTTAGTCTCTAATGTCTATCTGTTACATCAGTTAGTCTATAAAGTCTGTCTGTAACATCAGTTAGTCTATAAAGTCTATCTGTAACATCAGTTAGTCTATAAAGTCTATCTGTAACATCAGTTAGTCTATAAAGTCTATTTGTAAAACAGTCAGCAGACTAGCTTTAGTCATACTTGTCAACTTTTTGAAATTTCCATAGGGGAGATTCTGTTTGCTTGAATTTAAAACACAAATAAAATGTGTGCATACACTCCCCAGAGGCAAAATAACCCTTTAACATGACATATGTTGAGTTGTTCTTTCAGGTGAAATCATTAGATCTTAGAATTTAGAAACAGTTAAGCTATTTCACTGGTTGAATACACTCCATTTAACTGATTCACCCCTGAAGACACATTTGAACCCTTCCAATTCAAAGTTTAGAATAGTTCACTATGAAACTTCAGGGGTGAATGTGTAAGTCAAGGTTCCAAAATCAAAAGTCAATCTCCCCCCTAATTAGGGAGGGTTGGCAAGTATGGCTTTTGTGTAAGTAGTAAAATTCATATTCAAATTATGAAGGAAATTAAATCAAACAATCAAATATCACAGGAAAACTTGAATATACAATTGAACAAGTAATTGAGTCTATTAGAGGTCACTATTGCATAAGGGGTAGGCTTGTACTAAGTTACTCAGAGTTTTCTTTCAGGTCTGGTTACTCAATCATTTAAAATATAATAACTGGTTATAAAACATAGGTTAAATTGGTATTTTGCATATCTGGATATGACATATCGTCCAAATGTAACATTGCTTGGCAAATAATAATAATTGCCAATATATATAAAGAATATTAAGAAGACTTGTTTTCAAACATTTGAAATTCTGCTTACAGGTGTGTAGGAGTTACCTCCCTTCCCTGTGTGTGAAGTTAACATGCTGTGTGATATTTTACTGTTAATTACTCATTATATTGATTAGTTAAACTGTTGACTGCTTATTAGATTAATTAAAATTAAATTTTCTCAGTTAATTAACTGTCTTGATAATTTTAATGACAGCCAACAACTTGATTTCCTCATATCATTGAAAATCAGATGCAACCAAGTTTGAACCTCTTGGTTTTGTATTTGATGTTTCAATTCCTATCTGTTAAATGTCATTGAGTTTGTAAATCATGAAAATTCTTTTATATAGTGTTGTCATTAAAATGGAGTTTTTGACTGTCATTTCCTGATTTTAATTGCAGAGTTAATTAACCTTCCTCCTGTTCCACTGTCTTCTGTTATCACACTAACTTAATCTATTCAACTTGATTGTAAATTGTCTTAACCTGAACTCTTATTGTAAATGAGCAAAAAAATAAGTGGCGAACAAAAAGAATCGAAGAATTCATCATTTTTTAATAAGATTCTTATTTTTATATTCAGTATTTTGATAAAAAAAGGTGAAAAATAAGAGAAAGAAAAAAAAAGAACAACATTTTCTTATACTTTGATATTAGCAATGACAGTTTCTTTTTAACTTTAATTCTTTTGAAACACAACGTACGAAAAACTTTTAAAACTACAACCTCCATTTGTTTTTGGCCTTATCCAGGGTTCCACTGGAGATTCACGCCCAACAACAGAAATCGAGTCACAACCCCCGGACGCTGAGGATGGTGGAATCTCACGGGACAGTTCACGACAGGTTGGTGACTTCCTCATATACCATGTTGTCATTGACAAACTGATGTTTTTTTCAATATTAGGCCAGATAAAATCTTTACCATTTCTTGTTGCCATCTTGGGACATGTGACAGATCCCGGAGTCGCGGGCAACAAGGTGAAGGTATTTCCATTAGGCAATAGATAAATAAAAAAATGTTTTATGAAAAATTTTAATTCATTTTTCAGAGCATGTGAAAAAAAGGTCCAACACATTTCATTTCAGCACAAAAAGTAGGGAAGATTAGAAAAAAGGAAAATAAATATATACTTTATTTGGTGTAATCTATAAATTTTGAATCAATGCAGATTCAAGGTTGGTTTAAATTGATATCTGTGTTTTCCCCCAAAATTACAATAGTTTAGCTAATTGTGGAAAAGTTATTTATTAATAGTGCTAGAGTTCAACGATGAGATTAATAATTATAAAACTATCTTTCATGATTTTTTTATTTTATTTTGTTAACTAACACTTAATAATTTGAAGAATATCGGTTTAGGTATTGGGATAAATCTACAGGATTTAATTACGTTTTAAGGGAGTTAACTCTGTAACTCAAGCACAAACCATAAATTATGTAAGGTGACACATATCCCTGAGTGGTATCATTTCACTTATAAAAGCATTTTAATGTATCTAGAAAAATTATGATCTCCTTTTTTTTGTTTTGATAATAATTCTTCCATTGCCATGCTCACAACAGAAGAAAAAGCTACGATTTGATCGTTCCAAGTCCCGATCACGTAGCAGGGTAAGGTTGTCAAATTATCTCCCTTCCGATGTTTTGTTTTTCAATATATTTTTTTTATTTCAAAACAATTATCACCCCTTTTGCATCGTGTCCCCATTATTTTATTTTTGAAATTCTGCTGTTATTTAAAAATGTCACTATAATTTGTTGTGAGTAAGTAATCTCCCCTTTTATTATCTCCCCTTAATCTTTCTTTTTCTATGTTTTGTTAAATGCAGCCATCAGAATATTTGTTGGTTATGAGTTATTTACCTTTCTTAGTTATCTCCCCTAGTAGTTATTTCTGCATAGTTACATGTTGCTTTTCTCCCACATCCTGCTTTTCTATTGTCAAATATTGAAAAAAGGCAAAATAGATAGAACTTAGTGGATTTAATATGGGCTAAATTAATAGAAACAGCCAGAACATATTTTGGTGTCAAGGAAATACTGGAGTTTGTCAAGTTACATGGCTATTAGACTTGACTGATCAAGTTTCTGATGACAGGGTAGCTCAGTTGCTAGGGATATGTAACCTAGTCCCTGTTAAGGAGGAAGATTGTAAATTTTCCGTGTTCTGAGCTCGGCCTAAAGTGAATGACATCGGGGAGCTGGTGCATTGTCCATGTAAATACTCTGTAACTGTTTTAGTACTCCTTATCAATGTCTGTGATGTCCTAATTTGATCATGTGACCATTCATTCCAACAGGCCTCTAATTTTACCCATCTTACTCCTATATTGTCATTAGTACCAATATCAGGTTGTCTCCCTTGTTATGTAGTTACATACCACTGTATATTGACGGGCTTAGTTTTGTTCTATAAAATGTTTGTAACTTTCTTCTGCGGAAGTTTGTATTTGTGAACAATTTTTAGATGCTTTGCCTAGATCCATATCTTTGTGACTTATGTAGCAGCAAAAATTGCATGTAACCACGAACTGTGATGCCTTAAGTTTAAGTTGACACAAAATTAATTTAAATACTTTTGGGATTGATTGATAATGGAGGGAATCAATACAGAAGTTACTTAAGTGTTATTGGAGACATATTTACCCTACAAACATACAAATATTCAAAAGTCTTGTTAGCTTAATATACATGGAATTAAATGTTTTATTATATCAAAGTGTGACCAAAATCTGAATATAATACTAATATGGTATCTAATTGCTATTATTTTGAGTTTAAGTATATAATTTTTTGTTACTTATCTAGATAATTAATGATTGTATTACGTAAAGAACATTTTGATCGCCTACTGATAAGCTTACTATACTTGTTATGTTGGGGTCCGGTACTGGGCAATATTAAGGACCCTTTGTGGACGTGTCTCCTCGCCAGCCCAGGTATTTAAGTATATTGATCGAACTGTGTTGGGTGTGTAGGGGCTCTTTGTGATTATTGCGAAACGGACTATAGATAACAGCCACTGTACCCGGGAAGTGGTCACCCTATTGGACTTGTGTGTCATAAAACCTCAGGGAGAGAGTAATACATGTAGTTGTCAGAGGCTCGCAAATATGAAAAATCCAAAACTTGTATCATCAATGTAATATGAAGGGAAAGGTATGCCAGATCCTCTACATATCACACAAAATGTGACTAGATCTTCTATATCACACTAAATGTGACTAGATCCTCTCTATATCACACTAAATGTGACTAGATCCTCTATATATCATACTAAATGTGACTAGATCCTCTCTATATCACACTTAATGTGACTAGATCCTGTATATATCATACTAAATGTGACTAGAATCCATTGATTGCAATAAAGAAAAGATAATAATTGTTAAGCTTGTATCTTATTAAGGATCCCCGTACGACTGACAACAACTGTAACATGTACTGGAAACTGATTTGGCAGGCATGACTTTAGCTTTGATGATCTTGCAAGACTTCTATGAAAAATAGTGGTGATGGCAATTTGTAAAACAAGCAACAGCAGTGTTCTGATTATAAAACGATAATAATATACAGAAATTCCAACCTAGGACTTCAGATTGATTACCTATACTATCGCTCTATAGCCGACTCAGCTATATCTGGTCACTGGAATTGTCCTGGCCCAACTGTGCTGTACAAGGTGCAGTTACATCTAAAATGAAATTAATTGGAGGTCACTGTGAATATGAAAGACCTAAGTGCATTGGGACAGGATCCCTAACCTTCCATCTCAGTGTCTGTCTCCCCGCTCCAATAAACGAAACTATGATAACGGTGTGAATGGAGTTTCCATAGTAGCTGATCCCCACCAGTGGCCCTCCGTATTAGTATTGACTGTAAAATTGAACAAAGCTATATTAAATGATGGGATAATAGGCCAGACTATCGAGCGTAACTGCAACACTGTTCATTTCACCGTACCTGTCACTTCGACACGTCAATAACCAGGTCGCTGCTGACATTGTCGTCATGACGATCATCTTTTGTTCCAGATGAAAATATTATGGTGATGTTTACTGACTCGTGTGTGCCATGCTCTCTAACTCTCACATGGCACAAAGTACGGGACAGGACAATCACAAAACGTGGATTGGTTTTTGTGGGGAAATTATTTATTACCACTCCTGGCTGCTCTAAGACAAAGAAACAGTATTTCATGCGATATTTCTATGAAAAGTGAAAGTTAAAGTTTGAAGGAGATTGGATATTAATGTCAATTCTTTTTATGAAAATGATTTATTGTGACAACATGTCTGTTCTATTTACGGGCAGACGATACTGTGTATGACATTTCCAACAAAACGTCATAGCAATTCTACAGGCAAGAAATGGAGAAAAGTTTCTACAAAAAAATCATGTCAGAAGAGAATAGTTGTTTACCAAAACAATGGACATTAGTTGTCATGATGACAGTAGTGAGGTTGTATTGAGATTTTATTAAAAAGAATTGATTAAATTGCATCAGAAATGGCAAAAAAATGCAAAATGATTTGTGAATATCCTGCAAAAAAAAAGAATTTTAATCATCTTCAAATTGTGTTACATGAAATAAATTAAGGAAATGAAATAAAAAGCTAATCAAAATGCTTATAAAGACAATTTTGTTGTGGTGGAGTCATGATGAAATTGAAGTAAATAGAAACATATAAATTGTGTTAAGTGTTAGAAAGTGAATCAAGATGTCTTCCTTCCACGGAAACAAAAAGAAACTGAGTATTACTAAACCTAAGGGTTCTAAGGTAAGACTACTTATTTTCAGGAATAAGTCATTCCACTCTATATCTAGATATAACATGTGGAACATACAGCTGTTTGATGTTGTAAGTTGTGTATTGACATGTTAAGTTAAGTTTATGTCAATACTGTACAACTAAATACAAACCCTATCCTTATACTTATATACTTTTGTTTTTTTTGGCAAATTGCATTTAAGAAATGAATAATTATTGAAACTTTTAATAAATGGAACAGCCGTTCACCGAGAATTAGATTATAGTCTCCTAATCAGCGTATGATCCATTTACATCATTGAGTGCTGAAATTCGCGAGAAATACAAGCTTCACCGAGTCTTCGTCAACCGAGTTGTACAGAGGACACGGGATATACAGAGAAATGTAACACTGTATTGATGTAGATGTAACCTGTCTGTAATTAGTTACATTACAATGTGAAAAATTGTCACTGTGACGTACATAACTGTTTCTTGAAAAATCTATATAAAATGTATATGAAAGGGGAATTCTGGCTTTAAGATTCTCCGGAATGTTGGTGATAACTTTAGTTTTTTATCATAGGAACTCTCAAGGGAAAAACATTTTGTAAGTAAGGAAATCTTCGTTTGAGGGATGTTCAAGGGGAAAGTATTCATTAAGATCAGTACACTCTTATTTAAATCTCAAGAAATTGCTGGAGAAGCTGGTGTCAGATTTCATAATTATTTAAACTGAAAATAAAACATTCAGCTAATTCTTGGATAAAAAATAATACAAAAAAAAATACACATAACTGATAGAAGGTTATTCTAAATATTGTAATAAAGGGTTGCTATTATTTGTCTAATAAATTAAAGCTGATTGAATTTTCTTCCAGTGTTATAAAACTTATTGAGCTGTCTTCTAGCACAATAAAACTTATTGAGCTGTCTTCTAGTATAATAAAACTTATTGAGCTGTCTTCTAGTATAATAAAACTTATTGAGCTGTCTTCTAGTATAATAAAAACTTATTGCGCTGTCTTTTAGTACAATAAAACTTATTACACTCTTTTCCAATGTAATAAGGCTTATTGCATTGTCTGTGTTTTATATAACCACAAGGTAATATGTTACGACAATCAATATAAGGTATAAAGCTGACATCTTTTATCTTTATTCTCGTGTTGTGTAATCAATACCTACAGCTTTCCTGTAATGACAGAATTTCCGGTCTTTGTAATTACTGCAGTTTTATAATTGATTTATTTCTCTGAAGAAAGTTAGTTAACGGTGATAAAGCCAGCTATGTTTTCATTCTTCCTTTCAGAAACTCAATATTGAAATTGATTCAGTCTTGCTCCAGGAAATCATGAATCATTCTTATTTCAGAAATTCGATATTGAATATTGACTTACTCTAAGGTTTTGGAAAGTGAAATATTAAAGATTATTATACCTTCTGTTAAAATCTCGTAATCTGATTGGTTGAGAAAGATGTGAACATTTTCAATGTTACTTGCGCGTTTTACAAAGATAAATTAAAGAAGACAGGGTGACATTCCAAAAAATATCACATGCGCCAAACTCATGCGTGCACGATTTGCCAGTGCCAGGGTGTTATTCCAAAAAATATCACATGCGCCAAACGTATGCGTGCACGGTTCGTCCCAGTGCCAGGGTGTTATTCCAAAAATTGTTACATGCGCCGAATGAATGCGCCCCTGGTTCATCCCAGTGAAAACTTTTCTGAAATGTTGTCGACCTTTAAAAATGGTGAAGTGGTGAAACACCTAAACATGACACTCGGTATAATAAAAAAAAAATCACATTCATGAGAGGGTGATATTGCATATTTTCACCCGGCTTTGCCTCGGTCAATAATGCTTCCTTGGGGTGAAAATATGCAATATCGCTCTCTCATGAATGTGATATTTATATAATGCACATTTTTTATTTCAGGAAAGTCGTCCGAGTACAAAAGACACAAGATCAAGTAAGGGAGCACCTGCCAAGGTCACTGTTACTCGGACCACACCTGCTGCCAAAACTGTGACCAAGCCCTCTAAACAAGAGGTGTGTAAAAGTTATTATAGTAAGAAGTTGTCTTGGAAATGTTTATACACTTAGGTCTTGAATCTCCTCAATATCTCCTTGGCTCCAAATAATCTGGAAAATTAATTTTTATAATAAGTAAAGAAAAATGTATGTATAGCTTTGATCCAAGGTATAGTGTCATATTATCAGATTGTGTTAATGATATTTTTTATAATTTTAGTCCAAGTCACCTGTGAAACCAGTGAAAGGTAAGAGTGAGTCACTTACAGTCCTTAATTGTGAGAGGGTGAAGTATTCACTTACAGTCCTTAATTGTGAGAGGGTGAAGCAGTCACTTACATTCCTTAATTGTGAGAGGGTGCAGTAGTCACTTACAGTCCTTAATTGTGAGAGGGTGAAGCAGTCACTTACAGTTCTTAATTGTGAGAGAGTGAAGCAGTGCGTCACTTACCGTCCTTAATTGTGAGAGGGTGAAGCAGTCACTTACAGTTCTTAATTGTGAGAGAGTGAAGCAGTGCGTCACTTACAGTCCTTAATTGTGAGAGAGTGAAGTAGTCACTTACAGTCCTTAATTGTGAGAGAGTGAAGTAGTCACTTACAGTCCTTAATTGTGAGAGAGTGAAGCAGTGCGTCACTTACAGTCCTTAATTGTGAGAGAGTGAAGCAGCGCGTCACTTACAGTCCTTAATTGTGAGAGGGTGAAGCCGTCACTTACAGTCCTTAATTGTGAGAGGGTGAAGTATTCACTTACAGTCCTTAATTGTGAGAGGGTGAAGCCGTCACTTACAGTCCTTAATTGTGAGAGGGTGAAGTAGTCACTTACAGTCCTTAATTGTGAGAGAGTGAAGCAGTCACTTACAGTCCTTAATTGTGAGCGGGTGAAGCAGTCACTTACAGTCCTTAATTGTGAGGGGGTGAAGCAGTCACTTACAGTCCTTAATTGTGAGGGGGTGAAGCAGTCACTTACAGTCCTTAATTGTGAGCGGGTGAAGCAGTCACTTACAGTCCTTAATTGTGAAAGGGTGAAGCAGTCACTTACAGTCCTTAATTGTGAAAGGGTGAAGCAGTCACTTACAGTCCTTAATTGTGAGAGGGAGAAGCAGTCACTTACAGTCCTTAATTGTGAGAGAGTGAAGCAGCGCGTCACTTACAGTCCTTAATTGTGAGAGGGTGAAGTAGTCACTTACAGTCCTTAATTGTGAGAGAGTGAAGCAGTGCGTCACTTACAGTCCTTAATTGTGAGAGGGTGAAGAACGGTCCTGAACATTTCACTGACATTCTTGAAAATGAATTAAAGTAGCATACTTCATCCCTGTTTAGAGTGGCTTTGAACTTGTTTAAGGCAAAGTATCCTTAAGTTTTCCTAGATCTGGTATTACACGAAAGTACAAGGTAGTCTAAAATGTTCCCTGGAATTAGTATTCCTGGAGAGGGCTAAGCAGTCTTAAAATATTCATAAAATGCTATAAGTATATATACATAAATAAAACTTCTCTAGAAGGGCTTAAGCATCCATAACCTTCTGTTAGTGTTATCAATGAGTCTGAATACAATGTAGTCCCTTTCTAGAATTAGTACACTGGATAGGGCTAAGTATCCTTAACTCTTTCCTAGAATCAACATTGAAAAATAGGGCTAAGTATCCTTAACTCTTTCCTAGAATCAACATTGAAAAATAGGGATAAGTATCCTTAATTAAAAATCATTGAACTAATGCTCTGAATTAGCGCACCTGATGAGATGATGTTCAATATTTGATGTAGTCGTGATACGGGTCCCTGTAATAGCTTCAGTGTGTTATATTGTCATGCTTTACTAGGTTAACGAGCTCTGTCTGTTTTAATTATTAACTTTACCTGGTACAACTAATAGGATGGGGTCCTGTTCACTGCAGTAATTGAAATGCTAACATCATAATGGAGGCTATAATTATAAATCGATCAGGTCAATAAAACTTAAGATTTAATTATGGAGACAGTTGTTTGACTTATCATTGTATGATTGAATGTTGTGTTCCGTCCACTCAGAGTACTCATGGTCAGTGGTCACATTTGATGGGTCAGCCATTAAAACTGGACAGCACTTACTACTGACTAACTGATAGGGATGATGATAAAATTACATCTGAGTACAAGTAACCCCAAAACTAATTATGTTAGAGTTTTTAACAGTGGTGTCTCAAATCACTTTCCTTCCCAAAATATCATACTTGGCAATTAACTCTTCCTATTAGGACAGAGACTCCCACCATTAAATTTAGTATTTTCAACCAGTGAATTTGCTTAACTATTCTTATTTTCTAAGATCTGATGAAACAGCTCAAACGATGCCATTAAAAAGTGTTAATTTTCACTAGAGTGTACATATACACACGTTGTATTTGGGCATTGAATTCTTAGCATTTGTAATCTCTCCTGTGGAAATTTCACAAAGTTGACAAGTATGGAATATATATTGTATAGTTACTCCCTGCAACAGCTACTATTCAGTTATACACATAATAACACTGAATCTTTTATTTCAGTAAAAATCCTTCTTATAATTGCTTTCTGGAAAGATTTTTTGGATGATTTTTGTGAACTTTCAATTTAGTTTTAAGTGTTATATCACATTTTTTTTTATATTTGTACCCAAAGGTAATTCAAGTCCGAGATGGACAAGTTTGACCGGATACTGAGCTTAATGTATAGCTGATGAGTGTATAATATAAACACGCCCCATGAGGCTCCATGGAATGTTACCAACGTAATAACATCTATTGTCATGGTTACAGAGACTGCAGACGCGTCTATACAGGACGAGGGAGGAGATCCCGGTTCTGCCCACGCCGAGACGCGCCAGAGTAAAAGGGCAAGGTCAACGCTTGAGACCGTCAAGGAATCCGACCTCAACGGCGAGTTTGATGACGCTTTTGATCTCACCGATGAGAGTTCATGGGTAAGTGTAAGGAGACAACATGTACAGGTTATAAATAGATTTATCATAAAAATATACATAGCCCGTGTCTGAGTGAATAATAAGATAAGAAATGTTGACCTTTATTTGTAAAAAATACACCAAAAAAACATTCATTTTCTCAAAGTCTGGTTGCAAAATTATATATAGTTCAACTGAAAGGTGATTTTACTGCCAATAATAGAAGTAATTTCACTGTGATGTCTTCTGGAAACTCATAAAATGTCTATCTTTATATAAAGTAATATTTAACTACAAAATTGTGTTAGTTTGCTGTTTCTTAAGGAACTGATTTGAAAGTTTCTAGCATCAAAAGTATATTTCATGATGATTGTTTTTAATACACCCATCAGAAAACGTGATGGAACTTGCTCATCATCAACAGTACAAAGTCTAAGGATAGGTTTTTATGCGCCTATATATGGTGCTCTTGTTAATCTATTTTTATTTATTTATCGATTGTAAACTAATTTCCTCATGTTTACAGGCTATGGTTCCCGTGGAGACTGTACCAGGTCGCTTTTTACAATACCGTAAAATGGTAAGTATCCTGTGAGGATGTGTGAATAATGTTACCTGTTATAATTCCACATCAACTCAGAGAAATGAGCAAATAATTACTGTAAAAGTGGAAATTTTCTCATTGTGACCCTTTCAACTTATTTGGGATGTTGACACTGACAATAGTTCTGAAATCTGTATACACTGTATTATATTTACCTATAATCGATATAAATTATAAATAAATATAAGCCTGTCGATATTTTCATGCTAATTTACTCTAACACCCAAAAAAAACAGATATTAAATACATGACTTTTCCCTTAAACTCTACCTGAAATATGCTACCTTAATGAATTGAAAAATGTTGACTGTTATTTTCTTTCCTACACAGACCATCAGGAAACTGTCAGAGGTCGAGGAACAGCTGGGACTGACGGTGGCTAAAACCCAGAGAAAGGTCACGACCTTGAAGTCTCAGTTCCAGGAACACAAGAGCAAGTGGGAAACAGTAAGGGCTAATGTCTACTGATAAACCCTACAGGTCTACATAGACTGGTCTAAATCTAAGGGTGGCTTATTCCATTATAGAAAATTAGGAGTTATACATACATGTCAACCTCTGGACCCTCTAGGAGACAGTTTTGTCCCTCAAAGCGAAATCCAAGAGAGGGATCCAAGTGTGTGAACCATTTTCGCACTTTTGTATTATGAGTAAATTGCAAATTTACAAGAACGAATGAAAAAGAATATTATCAATTCAAAGCAATATATGTATATGATTACCCATTGTCATTTTTCATCCCCTGTGATCCTTCAAGGAGAACAGGTCTGGAATACTTAAGCCTGATTTTCCCCTTCAATGTTAACAGTGTTTACCTCACTTTCCTAATTCTGGTTATCTTAGAAGTTCTATGAATGTCAAAAACAAAATATGTGTAGATAAAATATTCACTTTTGTTGCAAATCGTGTACAAAATGTTAACTTGATTATTCCTGTCATTAAGCTTGTGGAAAGTATAGGGAAAGTGAAAGTGGCTGATATTTTGTAGGAGAGAAAGGTACTGATAGAACAAGTGGAGCAAGCTCAGAAACTGCAAACAGAGGCTGAGAAGGAGGCAGACGTCGCAATGACACAGCTGGAGGAGTTCATCAATGAGCAAGAACGATTGGTAAGCAGAAGACTTCATCTTATTTTGAGGGTGTTTTTTTTTTAAAGTTTCATTGGTATTAAAATGGAAAAGATCCATTCAATGTATTAAAAAAGATCATATCGATTTTAATCGTGACATTAGAATGATACCTTTTCAGGTTCTGATGATGTTTTAGAAGTTCTGTCTGCTTCTTTGGAATTAATTCAATAGTTAATTGTATAGCAAGTTAAAGGGTTTCTGATACATATACATTATTTTGACAAACATGCACAGGAAAGTCGAAGCTTCAGTATCACTTGTCACTGTTAAACAGCTGTTCAGTGTGACCATCTGTCTATAGTGACCATCGGTTTAGAGTGACCACATCTGTATTGACCACCTGCCTATATTAACCGTCTGTCTATATTGACCACCTGCTTATAGTGGTTATATGTTAATAGTGATCACCTGTTTTAAGATTTTACCTTAAACATTTAGTTTCTGTATCATTCAAGATCTGTTCAAAAAGATCAATTGATGCTGTCACCCTTATAGACAGGTTTGGTGATATACACATGTAGTAGTGTTCCTTATAGACAGGTTTGGTAATACACAGATGTAGTAGTGTTCCTTATAGACAGGGTTGGTAATACACAGCTTGAGTATTGTTTCTTATAGACATGTTTGGTAATACACAGCTGTAGTATTGTTTCTTATAGACAGGCTTGGTAATACACAGCTGTAGTAGTATTCCTTATAGACAGGTTTGGTGATACACAGCTGTAGCAGTGACCCTTATAGACAGGTTTGGTGATACACACATGAAGTAGTGTTCCTTATAGACAGGTTTTGTAATACACAGCTGTAGTAGTATTCCGTATAGACAGGTTTGGTAATACACACATGTAGTAGTATTCCTTATAGACAAGTTTGGTAATACACAGCTGTAACAGTGACCCTTATAGACAAGTTTGGTAATACACAGCTGTAGCAGTGTTCCTTATAGACAGGTTTGGTGATACACACATGAAGTAGTGTTCCTTATAGACAGGTTTGGTGATATACACATGTAGTAATATTCCTTATAGACAAGTTTGGTAATACACAGCTGTAGTAGTATTCCGTATAGACAGGTTTGGTAATACACACATGTAGTAGTATTCCTTATAGACAGGTTTGGTAATACACATCTGTAGTAGTATTCCTTATAGACAGGTTTGGTAATACACACATGTAGTAGTGTTCCTTATAGACATGTTTGGTAATACACAGCTGTAGTATTGTTTCTTATATACAGGTTTGGTAATACACAGCTGTAGTTGTGTTCCTTATAGACAGGTTTGGTAATACACATCTGTAGTAGTATTCCTTATAGACAGGTTTGGTAATACACATCTGTAGTAGTATTCCTTATAGACAGGTTTGGTAATAAACAGCTGTAGTAGTATTCCTTATAGACAGGTTTGGTAATACACAGATGTAGTAGTGTTCCTTATAGACAGGTTTGGTGATATACACATGTGGTGGTGTTCCTTATAGACAAGTTTGGTAATACACAGCTGTAACAGTGACCCTTATAGACAAGTTTGGTAATACACAGCTGTAGTAGTTTTCCTTATAGACAAGTTTGGTAATACACAGCTGTAACAGTGACCATCATAGACAGGTTTGGTGATATACACATGTGGTGGTGTTCCTTATAGACAAGTTTGGTAATACACAGCTGTAGTAGTATTCCTTATAGACAGGTTTGGTAATACACAGCTGTAGTAGTGTTCCTTATAGACAGGTTTGGTGATATACACATGTAGTAGTATTCCTTATAGACAAGTTTGGTAATACACAGCTGTAGTAGTGTTCCTTACAGACAGGTTTGGTGATATACACATGTGGTGGTGTTCCTTATAGACAAGTTTGATAATACACAGCTGTAGTAGTGTTCCTTATAGACAAGTTTGATAATACACAGCTGTAGTAGTGGTCCTTATAGCCAGGTTTGGTAATACACAGCTGTAACAGTGACCCATATAGACAAGTTTGGTAATACACACCTGTAGATAAGTCTGTGTATGCAGATTTGTAGTAGTGTTCCTAATAGACAGGGTTGGTAATACACAGCTGTAGTAGTGTTCCTTATAGACAAGTTTGGTAATACACAGCTGTAGCAGTGACCCTTATAGACAGGTTTGGTGATACACAGCTGTAGCAGTGACCCTTATAGACAAGTTTGGTAATACACACCTGTAGTTAAGTCTGTGTATGCAGATTTGAATCCTCAATAAGATTTTAAGCCGTGTGATTGGTCTGCTAGCTACTCTAGCATTGTTATGAGCCGTACTTTAAATTAAAGACATTTGCTCAGGGTACATTGTATGGTCAGCTTTTGACATCAGCAATTAAAAATGCATGTTTGATATTTCAAGTTTATATTTTTCATAATTCTAAATTTGTTGATGTATCAGGTGATTATCATCAAACACATCAAAATAAAATGTATGTAAATTTCAGATAATTCAGAATGTTTTTCTTGTAAAAAATTTGAATTTTGATATTTAAAGCTTACAATGCATGTTACATTACACATGCATGTGCTCTGATCAAAGGGAGATAACCCAGCCACACTGAATAGACCCTATACGGTCATAGTCAGATAAATTTAAATCATTTGTTACAAAGTGTTGAAATACTGACACCGTTGAGGCGCGAACTGTCTGTTCAGGTTTTGTAGATAAACAATTGGTAAACAATTAAAATGTCGACACACTGGTACACAAAACTCCAAAAACCTATTTGTTACATATACTGATATACAGTTATACAGGTGTGTGGTGGATATTCACTAGGGGATTAAGGAACAAGGCACTAGATGGAGAAATATTTTTTGTCAAGATGGATTCCATGGATAGCAACTCCCTGATGTGGATTAAATATACTTAATTATGAACTTAGAATATCTAAAAATCACATTATAATTTGAGTTTAATATGCCGCAATTGAAAGGCTGAGAAACTCATCGTTAAATGTTGGGGCTGTGATGATACATGTGCTAGATACATGAATGTGATATTATTAAGTAGGAATGAATGTTTAAATGTGTAGTGGCTGATTACAATAATGGAGGAATCACCAGATTTTATTGTTGTGGGCAGTAGTTTTCGACAGGTAGGTTGTATAAATGTATCTGTCCATTTGTCTGTACATAAACTATCACATGTTCTTCGGTCTGTCCTCCTTTTGTATGTATACTGTACAGTCAACCCTGTATTAAAAGACCATGCACTCACAGAAAGTTCACAAAGTGGTCTTAACAAAGGTGGTCTTAACACAGGTGGTCTTAACACAGGTGGTCTTAACACAGGTGGTCTTAACACAGGTGGTCTTAACACAGGTGGTCTTAACACAGGTGGTCTTAACACAGGTGGTCTTAACACAGGTGGTCTTAACACAGGTGGTCTTAACACAGGTGGTCTTAACACAGGTGGTCTTAACACAGGTGGTCTTAACACAGGTGGTCTTAACACAGGTGGTCTTAACACAGGTGGTCTTAACACAGGTGGTCTCTTAACACAGGTGGTCTTAACACAGGTGGTCTCTTAAGTACACAGGTGGTCTTAACACAGGTGGTCACACGAGCAGGTTTGATTTAATTATATGTCTGTCTGTGTACATGTCAACATGTCGGTCCATCTGTCCTAAAGACTTAAGAGAACTCTTTAGCTATAATATTCAGTGTTCTGTCATGTAATTATGTGAAAATATTTCATGCATTTGATATGGTGGCTATAATACTAAATCTCCTGAATTCTGTTAACAGGAAGAGGAGGAGGAAGTGAAGCGACAGGAAGTGGTCAAGGGTGTGTCCAAACCGGTCATGGTCAGTATTCCCACACAGCATGACGAAGACGAGACGATGGAGTCAGAGGTCATGACCTCTGGCTCACCGCAGACCTTGACCCCTGTACAGCCCGAAGCAGAGACAGGGGCGCCACCTCCGACCTTTATACAGAGTGAGGAGTCAGAACATGAACTCACCAATCTCATGCAGCAGACAGATGATGCCAAGGTAATGAAAGGTCATGAACTTTGACCTCAGTAGTTAGAAGAGAGGAGTTTCAGATTAACATTAAGGCCAATTAAAATATTGTTTGTTGAGATTTAACTGTAACAGTGCCTATTTTAAACTAGCTGTTAATGACTTCAGGCACTAGAAGCTGGAGTAGGCAGGGGGAGTCAGGAAACAGAGATTTATCATCTGTTGGCCTTAGATTGTTTTTATGTTATAAGTTTATAACTATAAGGTATGTGTTTCTGCAAGACCATTGTTCCCCTGTGAAGCAGGTTGTAAAGGTTTGAAGATTATTAGAGAAATTGTAAGACAGTTTCTGTCTGTGAATCAGAGAAGCAGGTTGTGACTACCAGCAAGGTGATGATTGGAATATTTGTGATCAATGAAATCAATATGGCAGGTTTTGTTCAGATGTTTGGTAATTTTTCAATATAACTTATGCAAAACTTGAAATTTAAAATTTCATTAAAAAAAATGCAAAAAGAAAAAAAAGTGCTTTTGGTCAGTTAAAATAAGATATATGATATACTAGTACAGCCAACTGTACAGATCTCTTACAAAATCTTTGATGTTGTATGAAATTTTACCGACTTGTGTAACAATATTCGACTAATACCAGGTTGACCTGACTTTACGTACATGATTTGTATTACAAAGATATCCTTAAATTTGGATGTCGGTAAATTCCGGTTTTGTTCATATATACCCAAATGACACTAACATTGATTTTGTTTTAAAGTATGAGAGACAAAGGTCAGACAGCAAGGTCGTATCGCGAAGGTCATCATCTATTAATTCTGATGTGGCACCTTGGCTAATGGCAGCGGAGAAAAAGCCTCGGTCAGTCGACGATGAGGAGGAGGATGAAGACCTGGAAGAGGAAACAGTCGTCAGGTCAAGCGCCTCCAAAACAAGTTTCCGGACAAAGAGTGAGCGCATTGCTTCTGAGATGTCTAAGTTAGAGGAACCAGACGAGGCAGAGGAAGACGAAAACGAGGAAAATAATGGAGAGAACGATACGAACTATGTTACTGATGAGGAAGAGGACAAAAATGTTAAAGAGGAAACAATTCTGTCGAAGAAAAGTCACAGTTCTCAGGAACGGAGATCTGTAGCCTCAAAAGTGTCGAAGAAAAGTCTGTCACGCACCACAACGAGGGAGGAGGTACAGGAAGTCTTCAGGTCAAGGGAGGCTACTCCAGATGGGGAGGCAAATGTTAGGCCTGTCGATTCTGATCAAGATGGTAAGGTGTCAAGGTCATCGAAGGTCCCATCTCAGACAGAAAGTGAAATGTCAGTATCAAAGGTAACACAAGAAGAACAGAGGTCAAAGTCCAAAATTTCTGTATCGCAAGATGAAGTTCAGGGATCTCTATCACAGGCGGAAGAGGTGGGGGAGGCCGAGGTGGAATCACGGTCTGTGTCACAGTCTGGGTCCCACAACAGGTCTCGCAGGGGGTCCCGCCAAAGTCGTAGCCAAACTCGAAGTAACATGAAGAGAAGAGGCTCAGTCAAAAGTGTGGAGAGAATTGAATCACAGAAAAGTAAACATTCTGAAACTGGAGCTGCCTCTAGAAAGAGTGACCAATCCGGACTCACTCCCAGGAAAAGTGATCATGAAGAGTCAAATGTTTCTCGAAGAAAGAGTGACTTTGCCCAGGAGGAGGAACCTGCACAAATGGAAGGAGATGAAAAACCGGAGTCAAGGAAAAGTGATGTTTTATCAAGACGAAGCACACAACTGTCCAAACCCCTGACTGTGGACGCTATCAATGATAAGGTGAACGCCGAGGATTCTGTGCTGACGGAGCGTCACAGCCATGCTGATGGTGAGTTGCACAGTGAAGACGAGCCTTTCTTTGATGTGAGGATCGCAACTCAAGAAAAATCTCGCTCTGACTCCAGGAGAACCACGTCACAGCAGCGTCTGTCAGTTGACATATCAATCGATCCTTCGTCGAGATTTGAAATGGCACAGGACCAATCAGGATCACCGAGATCTAGCTCCCAGGTTTAAACACATTCTTACTCACTGATGTTGTCACGTTGACCTTGATATTGTCACCTTGACCTTTAGTGTTGTCACCTTGACCTTTATTTTGTCACCTTAATGATATCTTGATGCTATAACTGAACTATTTCACCTTTATATTTGTGTGACCTTGACCTGTTGTCTGTGATTATGTTTTTATTCCCTCTGGACTATAATTATGTTGTTTTTGTATATTTTCATTCACATTCAGGAACATCTTTTTATAAAATGGGGGTGGGGGGCAGGGGTGGGAGGCAGGAGTGGGGGGCTTATTTTTTTTACTTTAAAAACAAAAAAAGTGTTTTTACAGGGTTTTCTTTAGAGGATTACTGTTAATTTATAAGTTGTACCTAGTTCTTTAAATCAGTTATACTTTGTAAAAAAACATTACACTTACACATACGTGGAAAACTTATATCAATATTGGGAATTCAAAAATCTCAGAGATTATTTATTCCATCATAATTAGAGAAATAATTTATGACTTATAAATAAAGTCATTGTAAGCAAACTTTTGACAAATATTTCCCAAAAATCAGCTGCAGACAGTAAACAGTATTATACGATGTTACATAAGAACCTAGACAGTAAGATTATTGGAATCGCGACCATTAATTCCACATTCTACGTTTCTTTTCAGTGTCCATCATCAGTGTTGTACTTGTATATGTCACTCTTGCGTGCATTTTGATTTTCGATGTCAATCACCTCATAGTGTCTGTAGTAATCGCAGTGGCTATTTATAGATTGTCATGTGATCTGTCAGTCATGTGACCACAATGTCATGTGATTGTCTGCCTATTCACAATGTTATGTGACCCTCTGATGTCCTGTGATTTATTGTTAAATATCTGTGATTTTAAATGTTGTGTGTGTTTTATTCTTTGAATGCATTGTAACAGCACAACTGGTGAAAATTTTCAATTTCGTCATGGATAATTAGATAATTGCTTTTACTTGAAATAATTTGATGTATTTTGTATCTTGAAAATATTACTGATATAATTTTAACAAAAAATAAAAAAATAATGAAGTTAGCTCAAGTGACCTATTGCTATCCGTTTTCGTCCGTCGTCGTACGTCGTCCGTTAACATTTTACATTTCGAACTTAAAGTCAAGTTCTGCTGGGCCGATAGAACTGAAAGTTGGTAGGAATTATCGCCTCATGGTCCTGACAAAGTGTTGTTATTTTTCAGGTCAATCAGAAATCCAATATGGCCGCCATGGCCGCTATTTTGTAAATACCTATTTCAAACTTAGAAACAAGTTCTAATAGGCCGATCTCACTTAAAATTGGTCTAGGAATGATCAGCTCATGGTCCTGACAAAGTGTTGTTATTTTTCGGGTCGATAAGAAATCCATTATGGCCACCACGGCCGCCATTTTGAAAACCTATTTCAAACTTAAAGTCAAGTTCTGCTGCGCCGATTGAACTGAAAGTTGGTAGGAATGATTGCCTTATGGTCCTGACAAAGTGTTGTTATTTTTCAGGTATATCATAAATCCAATATGGCCGCCATGGCCGCTATTTTGTAAATACCTATTTCAAACTTAGAAACAAGTTCTAATAGGCCGATCTCACTTAAAATTGGTCTAGGAATGATCAGCTCATGGTCCTGACAAAGTTAAGTTAACATTATACTTAACTATTTTTTACTCAAATTGGTACATATTTCAACAACAAAAATAAATACTGTAGGACTCAGGTGACCGTAAAGGCCCATGGGCCTCTTGTATTTATTATAATATTTATATGTCCATATATCAAATTATACACCCTAAATATAATATAAATTCTTAAATACACTAATATTCTAATCTTTTAACAGTTCAGATAAAAACAGATTCATTAGAATAATCTGAACATGAATGTTGATAATAATTATATATTTAAATATTTTTTCTATTTGACATATTTTTTTAATTGGTGGAAATATAGTTGATACTTTCAAGAAATTGGTAAATTTTCTTGACTTTCAGTATTCAAATTGACTTGGCAGCTCCCCAAGTATTATTTTTAGGATTTTAAGATTGTGCGGTATATTTCAGGTACAAGAGATAAAAGCTAGAAAATCGTCTGGAGCTCTCTCAGCGCCACCTGCTGTGGAACCTGAGTCAGAACCCAGAGACAAGGTAGGCAAATGGTCCATCTTTTCTTCAGTGTATTTTGTCATGTATTGTCAACTTTAGAGTATTGTGGATGTCTGCTTCAATGATGTCCTTGCTTTTTGTAGAATTGTTTTGCAACTTGTGAAGATCTGGGAGCTTTTCGTACAAAAAGTTGTTCATCTAATAGTTTTCTTATGTTCTTGTACTGTGAAATGGGAAAGTTTAGCCCCTACTTTTATATCAACTATTTTCACTTTTGATTGATGGGTTAATTAAAGTAGGGGTCTGAAAATGTTACAATTAACAGTAAAAAAATATAGCAAAATTTAAATATTTATTTTTTTGAATATATATGAAGAAGTTGTAGTCCGACTCAAATTTTCTGAGTTAAATATCTGGTTAACTAAATATTGTGAATATTATTGACTGTGAAGGATCAAGGTATATCAGGAAGTTAGGCAACCGGTTGATTTTTGTTAATCTTGTGTAATTAAGGATGTTGAGAATGATTTAATTCTTTATATCCTGTATAATACATTGAAATCTATTTTTCTATTTTCATTGGAGTTTTCATTTTATATTGATTATAGTTAAATGCACAATTTTGAGATTTACCAAATGAAATTGGTTTTATTTTTTAACTTCCCAGTGTGACCAAACGGTACGTTTCCAGACGGAATTGTCAATTCGTGTTGGTGTGAAGGTTGACGTTTTGTATGGCTTTGAAGTTTTGATTTAAATGCTTTAATTAGTTAATTACATAGTATCTGCCCGTAAAACTGTTTATTTTTCCCCGTAGATTAACATACATTGTATATAGAAAGTATATTTATAATCACATGTATAAACCCATGTAGAGTCAGTAAATTATTACAACAGTACCCGAGTGTTACAATAACAGAACCTGACTGTCTGAGTCTCCACAATGTTTGTTTCCTATGAAATAAACAATGTTGTCATTGTTAATGTCCTCCAACTTACAGATTTTTCATGAGATATCTATTTTTCACACAAAATATCTATTTTTCACACAAAATATCTATTTTTCACGAGCTACTTATATTTCACAAGATATCTATTTTGCATTATTTACAGACCTGGGTTGATTGATTGATGATATATTTGAGAAGTACATGTATATACATCTTAATAATTAATTGGTTATAGCTAGGTGCTACACTTCAAAATTTAATGAAAATGTAGAACAAGGAATAAAATTAAAATAACAAGTAGCAATCTAAAGTGAATAATATTTTTTAAAAATGCCCCGGTAGGCCAAGATAATGAATATCTTCATAGAAAGAGTTATCAAATATCTGATACACTCTATTTTACCAAAGAATTAATGTGTGTTATTTCAAAACTATTAATCCAGTCCTAAGTCTTGTCTGTAATAACAAATTTCATTATTTTTGCTTTAAAGTATTTTTAGAATTTAAGCAATTTTGATTTACATGGAATTGTTTGAGTTTTTCTGAAGTGTATTTTGTTGTTTTTGCTTAAATTTCAGAAAATTCCAAGCAAAATATCTGTAGGTGTGTTTGACATTTTTTCAGAAGTGTTATTACAGTGTGTGCCTGAATCTTAAATAATTTCTGCTGAAATTAATATAGAAATATTCTTGTCTGCAGATGATTTATATCAAATGGTGGGATTTTAAAACTAATACAGTCCAACATGTGTTATGGAAATCTCATAAAGTTTGGGTATATCATAATATGTAAAAATGTTTAAAATTTGTTTAACTCATGGACATCATTCCAGAAAAATAATGTACCATTATGGTCATTTTGAAACCAGCATGTCAAGATTTGGTACATGTACCATCATTAGTAATAAGATATTTCTTCATTATTATTATTCATTCTTGTCCAGAGTTTCTTGTCATCCTACGTGTAAGTCTGTAAGAGTTGCTTCCCTTTGAGTCATTGTGATTCACTCACTTGATACAATGTTCATTTGGTTGGTGAGGCTGAGCGTTATTATTTCTGGATACATAGCATACAAATCTGATTAATATCATTCCAGTCACTAAATCATATCATCCTAATGATATTTTATAATTTTCAGAATTAATATGAATTTCTTTTTAGTTATGACCAAATAATTACTGAATATAATCATTTACATTCTTTTGTGATTATTATTTCCCCCCTGTCCATGCTCCATCCAGACACGATCCGGTATGTCAGGTCCACGCTCGCCTCCCCTGTCTAGGTCCAGGGGAAGTGTCGTATCACAGTACATTACGCGAGGTATGACAGGAACCACACCAATCGAGGAATTATCGGAGGTCGGGTCAGGCAGCACAGGAAAGAGTCGTAGCCGAAGCCGATCTGCAGGGTCAGGGTCATGTAAAGAATGGATACTTCATGTTACACCCCGTTATAGATCACGAAATGCGAGTGCTGACAGCGGACATGACATCATGGACGCAATCATCGTCGAGGACAATCTTCCCAAATGTCAGTCGTCGGCGCTACTTAACATGAAAACTATGATGGAGGAAGATAATATGTCAAACGTGCAACATCGTACCTTGGAATCGGTTCGTTCTGCACTCAAGACTCTCAATGAAAAGGATCAGGAATTATCAGCTCTTCAACTGGAGCGAACAATCACACTTATCTCCCTTGCGAGTCAGCTCACGGAAGAGTCGATCCAACTTGGTGTTTTGCCAGAAAGCGTGTTTGATGCTTTCGCTGACATCAACTCTCGTGCGATGTCCAAGATGAGTCAAGGAGACGAGGACTTTCTCGTTGACGACAATCTTAGGGAGGAATTACTGCGACCAATGACGCGGGGCTCTCTTAACACCGAGGTTTGTGATTGCATTGGACAATGTTTGTGCACCTAATTCAAATCCCTCAACATAATCATTAATGCATTTTATACCAAACCCTGAAATCTCCCACCAGAATGTCCGAGTGTTACTGAAATCTCTCACCAGAATATCCCAGTGTTACTGAAATCTCTCACCAGAATGTCTGAGTGTTACTGAAATCTCCCCCCAGAATGTCCCAGTGTTACTGATATCTCCCACCAGAATGTCCCAGTGTTACTTAAATCTCCCACCAGAATGTCCCCATGTGACTGAAATCTCTCAACAGAATGTCCCAGTGTTACTGAAATCTTCCACCAGAATGTCCGATTGTTACTGAAATCTCTCACCAGAATGTCTCAGTGTTACTGAAATCTCTCACCAGAATTTCTGAGTTTTTCTGAACTCTCTCACCAGAATGTCCGAGAGTTACTGAAATCTCTCACCAGAATGTCTGAGTGTTACTGAAATCTCTCACCAGAATGTCCCAGTGTTACTGAAATCTTCCATCATAATGTCTGAGTGTTACTGAAATCTCCCACCAGAATGTCCCAGTGTTACTTAAATCTCTCACCAGAATGTCCCAGAGTTACTGAAATCTTCCATCATAATGTCTGAGTGTTACTGAAATCTCCCCCCAGAATGTCCCAGTGTTACTGAAATCTCTCACTAGAATGTCCCAGTGTTACTTAAATCTCTCACCAGAATGTCCCAGAGTTACTGAAATCTTCCATCATAATGTCTGAGTGTTACTGAAATCTCCCACCAGAATGTCCCAGTGTTACTTAAATCTCTCACCAGAATGTCCCAGTGTTACTGAAATCTTCCACCAGAATGTCTGAGTGTTACTGAAATCTCCCACCAATATGTCCCAGTGTTACTGAAATCTCTCACCAGAATGTCCGATTGTTACTGAAATCTCTCACCAGAACGTCCGAGTGTTACTGAAATCTCTCACCAGAATGACCCAGTGTTACTGAAATCTCCCACCAGAATGGCCCAGTGTTACTGAAATCTTCCACCAGAATGCCTGAGTGTTACTGAAATCTCCCACCAGAATGGCCCAGTGTTACTGAAATCTCCCACCAAAATGTCCCAGTGTTACTGAAATCTCTCACAAGAATATCCGAGTGTTACTGAAATCTCCCAACAGAATGTCCCAGTGTTACTGAAATATCCCACCAGAATGTCCCAGTGTTACTGAAACCTCCCACCAGAATGTCCGATGTTACTGAAATCTCTCACAAGAATATCCGAGTGTTACTGAAATCTCCCAACAGAATGTCCCAGTGTTACTGAAATATCCCACCAGAATGTCCCAGTGTTACTTATATCTCTCACCAGAATGGCCCAGTGTTACTGAAATCTCCCACCAGAATGTCTCAGTGTTACTGAAATCTCTCACCAGAATGTTCCAGTGTTACTGAAATCTCCCACCAGAATGTATGAGAGTACTGAAATCTCTCACCAAAATGACTGAGTGTTACTGAAATCTCTCACCAAAATGACTGAGTGTTACTTAAATCTCTCACCAGAATGTCTGAGTGGTACTGAAATCTCTCACCAGAATGTCAGAGTGTTACTGAAATCTCTCACCAGAATGTTCCAGTGTTACTGAAATCTCCCACCAATATGTGCCAGTGTTACTGAAATCTCTCACCAAAACGTCCGAGTGTTACTGAAATCTCTCAACAGAATGTCTGAGTGTTACTGAAATCTCTTACCAGAATGTCTGAGTGTTACTGAAATCGCTCACCAGAATGTCTGAGTGTTACTGAAACCTCCCACCAATATGTCCCAGTGTTACTGACATCTCTCACCAGAATGTCCGATTGTTACTGAAATCTCTCGCCAGAATATCCCAGTGTTACTGAAATCTCTCACAAGAATGTCCGAGTGTTACGGAAATCTCCCAACAGAATGTCCCAGTGTTACTGAAATATCCCACCAGAATGTCCCAGTGTTACTGAAACCTCCCACCAGAATGTCCGAGTGTTACTGATGCTTCTGATATTTCAATATTTCACAATCCAAGATGATGCTGTTATCTCTGCACTTTCTCTCTTATAAATCAAAGGAACTTCTCTGATATGTTTTCTTTCCATTTTTCCACAGATTTACAATATGTCTGAGTGTTACTGAAATCTCTTACCAGAATGTCCCAGTGTTACTGAAACCTCCCACCAGAATGTCCGATGTTACTGAAATCTCTCACAAGAATGTCCCAGTGTTACTGAAATCTTCCACCAGAATGCCTGAGTGTTACTGAAATCTCCCACCAATATGTGCCAGTGTTACTGAAATCTCTCACCAGAATGACCCAGTGTTACTGAAATCTCCCACCAGAATGGCCCAGTGTTACTGAAATCTCCCACCAGAATGTATGAGAGTACTGAAATCTCTCACCAAAATGACTGAGTGTTACTTAAATCTCTCACCAGAATGTCCCAGTGTGACTGAAATCTCTCACCAGAATGTCCCAGCATTACTGAAACCTTCCAACAGAATGTCCGAGTGTTACTGAAATCTTCCACCAGAATGCCTGAGTGTTACTGAAATCTCCCACCAGAATGGCCCAGTGTTACTGAAATCTCCCACCAGAATGTATGAGAGTACTGAAATCTCTCACCAAAATGACTGAGTGTTACTGAAATCTCCCACCAAAATGTCCCAGTGTTACTGAAATCTCCAAACCAGAATGTCCCAGTGTTACTGAAACCTCCCACCAGAATGTCCGAGTGTTACTGATGCTTCTGATATTTCAACATTTCACAATCCAAGATGATGCTGTTATCTCGGCACTTTCTCTCTTATAAGTCAAAGGAACTTCTCTGATATGTTTTCTTTCCATTTTTCCACAGATTTACAATATGTCTGAGTGTTACTGAAATCTCTCACGAAAATGTCCCAGTGTTACTGAAATCTCACACCAGAATGTCTGAGTGTTACTGAGTGTTACTGAAATCTCCCACCAAAATGTCCCAGTGTTACTGAAATCTCACACCAGAATGTCTGAGTGTTACTGAAATCGCTCACCAGAATGTCTGAGTGTTACTGAGTGTTACTGAAATCTCCCACCAGAATGTATGAGAGTACTGAAATCTCTCACCAAAATGACTGAGTGTTACTGAAATCTCCCACCAAAATGTCCCAGTGTTACTGAAATCTCCAAACCAGAATTTCCCAGTGTTACTGAAATCTCTCACCCGAATGTCTGAGTGTTACTGAAATCTTCCACCAGAATGTCCCAGTGTTACTGAAACCTCCCACCAGAATGTCCGAGTGTTACTGAAAGCCTCCACCAGAATGTCTGAGTGTTACTGATGCTTCTGATATTTCAATATTTCACAATCCAAGATGATGCTGTTATCTCTGCACTTTCTCTCTTATAAATCAAAGGAACTTCTCTGATATGTTTTCTTTCCATTTTTCCACAGATTTACAATATGTCTGAGTGTTACTGAAATCTCTCCCCAAAATGTCTGAGTGTTACTGAAATCTCTCCCCAAAATGTCTGAGTGTTACTGAAATCTCCCACCAGAATGGCCCAGTGTTACTGAAATCTTCCACCAGAATGTCCCAGTGTTACTGAAATCTCCCAGTGTTACTGAAATCTCTCACCAGAATGTCCGAGTGTTACTGATGCTTCTGATATTTCAATATTTCACAATCCAAGATGATGCTGTTATCTCGGCACTTTCTCTCTTATAAATCAAAGGAACTTCTCTGATATGTTTTCTTTCCATTTTTCCACAGATTTACAATCACAAATCACTTTGCTTTGACTTAAAGATTAACATCACCAACTTCTGGTTTCTTTGATTCACATTGAATTTTCAGGTTGTTGAATTTTAAACCACTATCCTGATTTTGCTGTCTAACTGACTTTTCAGGCAAATTGAATTTTTTTTTTTTTTTCTGTTGCTAATTTGTTTACAATAATTGATATGAATATCTCATGTCTTCTTTCATTTATTGTTTGGAAATTTCTGGTAGATCCAGGTAGTTTTTAATGTTAAAATTCTTTTTATCATTCCCGAAAATGTGTTCAATATTATGCTAACAATATGTCAATTTATCTCTTTAAGATGAATTTCGGTAATGGTAATGATAGTTTGCGTACATTTTCTCAGCCATCAATCACAGACACATCATCTGGAAGCTTGAAACAACTGCCCCCTTTGGAATCTTTTCTTTTCTCCTCACAATCCCAACGTTTGATGAGAAGTCGACAGAGGAGTCTGAAAATGTCCTCTACTCCTTTCGACAACGCATCAAAATATCAAGAAAGAGCTCGGTCTGATACGAACATGGCCTTGCAAGGTCCACTTATGACCTTTGCTACCATGGCAACTGGAGGATCGACCAGGAAGAGTAGCCCCATTACTCCAAGGCCTAAGTCAGTGACACAGTTACTTTCAAGGTCTCAGCTGTCGCGATCGAAGAAGAGGGACATTGGGTTGACCTTTGGATCTCCGGAGTACTTTGAATACCCAGGAAATGAAGAAGGATCATACCTTTACCACGGAATAAAGGTCTGTGACCACGGCACAAGTCCAGTGTTTCAGCTCATATTGTATGATAATGGAACAAGTCCGATGTATCAGGTACATAGTGGCCATGAATTTGGTTGTGACCTTGACCTTCCTCCTCCTTGACTTTCACCTTAATTTTACCCAAACTCACCCATCCATTTGTTAGTTTTTTTCACTGAGATCTGTCTGAGTTGTTTTTTTCACTCTTGACAACATCCTTTTTTCACTGTCGAAATGAATGTGTTGAACATGATGATACAGTGATCACTGAGTTATTGTGGTGTTACACGTGTTGGGTTTGAAGAGTTTCACTAACAATTTGTTGTGAAATTTCATTAACTGTTTGATAAGAAGGACTGTGTGAGTTAAGATACAGGTATTTACCTCTCCTTTTTGTATTTTTCTGTTATAAATCAGATGGTACGGCTTTTGCCCCCGAAAGCTAAGGTAGGTCACTGTAGTGGTCATTTGTTTATAGCGGTCAGTCAGTGGTGTTAACAGACAGGTCACCTAACCAATTACCCCACTGTTATAACCTTTAACAGACAATTATACCAGGCCAAGGAAACAAATGTGGGTTTCCAGTGTAACAACTAACACCCTGGTTTATACAGTTACAATAATTAGGATATGTTCGAATGACGTGTACCACAAAATGTTCAGCACAGTTTGCCTTTCGCCTATTCAAAATGAGAGCAAATTTGTCCCGACAAAATAAAAATCAATGCATTGCATGTTTAAAATAAGAATTACATGCGAAATTAAGGGCAAAATGAACGCAGGGTGAATATGAACTTTACCAGTGAATGGTGAAAGTTGGGCTGGACGAAAGTTTAGCGGGTTACAGTTTATTAAAATGTAAAGAAGCAAAATTATGAAGACTTTGAAATGGTAAAGTTTTGCCCTGTTTTCAAAAGAAAGTATTTTTCACGTATTGTAATGTAAAATAGCTAATAATTCCCTTAGTTAAAGCAATGTTACACAACAAGACCTGTCGAAACACAACTTCCTTTAGAAGGAAGATTTTCCCTTCATAAAATATAACTTAAAATGTAGGTTTTCAAATTTTTAATCAGAGTTATATTAGAGACATCAGATGATTAAACCATGTGCTGGTTTATGCCGTTTCCTGATAATAGTTACAGAGGTTTTCAAATCATGCAGGATAACAATTTGATAAAACAAAAAGGCTTGAAGTTTCAAGACTGCAGGATCCAAAACACTATACATGGAAGGACATTTTTTTGCTTGGCCTTATATTGTATTTTATATAACTCTCCCCTAGGACAGAAATCTATAATAATTCTATTGTATACCACTGACAGCGATAGTTCTGTACTTATCCAACATTAACAAACGGCGAGGTAATTACGTTTATTTATCAGACTGGACAATCATACTAATCCTTATATGTAGCTTTAACAATGGAACTGACCACATGGGACTGACCACTCCAATAATGTGATTGTTAAGTCAGGGGGGTCATTAACAGTGATATAGAGTGATCTGATCCACTGTTCTATGATTTCACCAGTATATGTGAGAAAGAAGGATTTGTCGGACGTTTGGGATATATCTCTGTGAACACATAAGGTAAATATCAACAGTGTATAAATTGATATTTTTTCTTCTAATTGTTTCATTAAGTGTATTGACCTTTGCTGATCGGGAAATGGTCAGTTATAATCTGTAATGTTTCCTTAAAGAAGCTGTATGTAGGGGACAAACAACTCGTAGCTGTGGTTGTACGTCTACGTCTATAATCTATGATTTGTATCTGTTTAAATAATCTCCCTGCTGTAAAGTCAGGTATGGTCTGTGGTGACAGCAGATTCTTGCAGGGTGTGGTAAAGAACATCTGAAGAATTGAAAGTGTCTGTAACTTAAATGTTTATTTACCCTTTGTCATATGAATGTCTGTAACTGATATTTAACACATTTTGGGATTATTTAATATTAGGGATTTTTCTTTTCAGATTTTAGTCTAACAACTTCAAATTTTGATAAACGAACTATTTTTTTTTATATGTAATCACTGTCATCTTTAAAATCCATGAATCGCAGTTGATATCACATTTCTTTTTTGCACCTCTGGAGTTTTGTTATAGCAAAATCAAACTCCCTGTACAGGTCGGATTGCAGTCAGTATAAGTTGACTGTCATGTCCTGCGTACCTTTCAAATAAGTGTCAAAACATGTTAAGTCATTAAATTTATAAACAAGTAACATATTTAATTACTAAATGACATGAGGAAAGTTTCGTGTCGGATGTCAATTTTCCGGGCATTCTGGACATTGTTTTCGAGGGAAAAAATTGACGTGCAAAAAAAGATAAGTAGAAGTTTATTTCAGCATTTTCAGCCAAAACAATTACCTGTGAAAATTACATAGGTGCACAAATAACACAGGTTTTTACGGTAGCTGTGATTTCTGAGTAAGGCTTTGAAAAGCTTGATGTGGGCCTCAGATTTTGTTATGGCATATTTATATTTCAAGGGAGATATCAATGGCAGAACTTTTGGATGTCAAAGTTGTGTTACTGTAACTAAATCTCATTAATTCATATTGTAATTATGTCCCCTTCAACTTTCTGTTCTAAAATCACAGACCTTTTTTTCGGGCACCAGAGTGTCTGGACTAACAAGGAATCCTGTTGTAACAAAAGATTTAACATACCATTGTAACCAACATAGTTAGCTTAAATGCACAGATATGTTTTTGTTTTCTTTGTATGCACCAACCATAAAACACCAAAAATCTAGTTCAAAAAGGAAAATACCAAAACTATCCACATACATGTATTGAAATTCTGTAAGATCAATTAGTGAAACTTAAGTCTCTTCACTATGGCTGACCTATTGTGTGTGATTGATGTTGTTTTCAGATCGGCACCAGTAACGTGGCAGATGACATCACCGCTGCTCCAGATCCCGCTATAGTTCCTCATCCGTCTGAAACTGTCGAAAATTCTGAAAATATCGAAACTTCTGATCACTCTGAAATCATTGAAAACTCTGACAATTTTGAAACTCTTGAACTTTCTGAAAGTGTTAAAAATTCTCACAAATTTGTCACAGTTGAAGAATCGAATGACACAGAATTAGATAATTTTGATAATTCTGGAGCCATTGAAAATTACGATCAGCCTGAAACAGTTTCTATGGAAAGTTTGAAAAACGTACAAAAATCAGAGACTCTAACTGACTTTGATCCTTCAAAACATGGTGATCTACCAGCTTTTGAGGTTTTGGGAAATTCTGTCACCAAGAATTTTGAAATGACAGACGTATCCCCTTTTGCATTAATTGAGCCTGATGACCATTTAGCTGACCAATCTGAAATGTGCTCTGGCCACTTGTTCGAATCACAAGAGGGCAATTTAGACCAATCAGAGAATGTAGGGGAATCAATAAGTCCCAACCAATCAGAACAGTTTGTTAATGACAGGACTGACCAAAACAACCAATCAGAACAGTTCGTTAATGACACGACTGACCAGAACAACCAATCAGAACAGTTCATTAATGACACGACTGACCAGAACAACAAATCAGAACAGTTCGTCAATGACACGACTGACCAGAACAACCAATCAGAACAGATCATTAATGACACGACTGACCAGAACAACCAATCAGAACAGTTCGTTAATGACACGACTGACCAGAACAAGGGCACTTTTCAAGATTTGAACCAAACAGAGGATACAAATTCTGGAGAGAAAATGAGCCAGTCAGATTTGAAAGTCTCTTTGGCCGTATCTGATTGTAGCACAAAGGTTGAGAGTAAAGGGTCATCTGCAAGGTCGAGGTCAGAGGTCTCGGACTCTAAATATGTCAAAAAAGTAGACATAGTTTACCCAAAAGATCAGCTCGCTGATCGTAAGGATGGTCAGGAAGCTTTCAACAGTAACAATCCCAATGAGGTAGAGATCAAAAGTCTGGACGGTGAAAACAGTACCCAGTACATCAATGTAAACATTAGCTCTGAACAGTTTACAAGTGATGCAATCCAAATTGGATCAACACTGAAAAAAGGTGCTCCTGATGTCAAAAGTCAAAGAAAGGTCATAAGGTCAGAAGTCAAAATTTCAGAGGTCATGACACAACAATTTGATCCTTCATTGTACGATCGTGAAAAGTTGAAGGTCACTGGTGTTCCATTTAAAAAGGAAGATAATTTCTCTGACCCTGGTTTCTCTGTGTTAACACAAAGTAGATCCCCGTTGAAGGTCAGAGAGTCAAAAATTCCTCATTCAGAATTATCTCCTACCAGAGAAACTGTCAATGTTGAACCCAACCGGCTAAAAAGTGTTTCATTTCCCCTCGTTATGAAAAAAACAGACATTTCTTTTAAAATGACTGGAGACACAACCAATATGGAATCATGTAAAATACAGAACATTGATCAGGAAGCCAGGCAAGAAAACTCGGTTCAGAAATCTAATGCTGTAAGAGTTCAGAACTTTCGTCCAGTACAGCGGGTCAGAGAAACTATAGACGAGGACAGGGTACTAACCTTTCATACAGAGATACAAGGCATCATGGGAGATTTTGTCACTCCACTCGAGGTGACTTAAAAAAAGATACAACACATTTATTCTACAACAAGGGGAGATAATTTATATAATCTTACAGACTTAATGAAGAATATTTGATCTTTTTGCTAATTTAGAGTAAAATATAAGTAAATTTTACAGAAAATTCCATTGAGGACAAATTTTCATTTTTCGTTAAATCCTGGATAATTTATTCTAAATTGACACTGATAATGTGATACTTCTGATTATCTCCCTTTGTCCTAATCTTTCTGACATCTTTTATATAAACTGAAGGAAAATGCACAGATTCCCACCAATTCATATATACACTGTACATGTATAAATGTATTTTTTCAACCCTTTCAGTCCCCTGGCTGAAATGGTGCACCAACGCACAAACTGAGTTATATTCCAGAAAAACCTTCAACATGTCAACAGGCTAGAATATTGATGACTTTTACAATCTTTCTGGTTTCCTTTCTTTTCTGTTTTAATCTTCAAAGAAAATACCCCAAAAAAAGGAAACAAAAAGACTGAGATATGATCTTTGTAAGATATGATCTTTGTAAGATATGAATAAGTCTTTCATGTAAATCTTCGATATCTTTTTCTTCGGGAACATAGAGAATATTGGAATGTTTGACGCAAAACCAACTTGTATGGAGGGATTGTGTTTTATCTGATACACACTCAAAACTTCTTGTCTTATAAAGCAGGTCAGATAACACATGTTTAAAGCTTGTTGGACTTGAATTAATTGTGGTATTTAGGACATTAATTAGGGCGATGTTAAAACTGATTTCACTGTGTATCATGACCTTATAGACATTTACAGGTTAGTACTACACTACTATAATTATGATACATACATGTCTGTTACATGTCTGTTACATATGTCTGTCTATATTCATGTTTCAAATTGCTGAAGTTAATAAACATTTTCATATCAGTCTGACAGTATTAAAATTGGTATTAAATTAGGATCATTCAGTTTTTAATAATCTGAAAAAAGTTGCAAAATATATTTGACATATTAAGTCTGTTCTCAAGATAACCTGAGATTTTGTGCCTGGCCATCATGCTCACTTTATTTAGTTAATAGTACTATCGCTTAGAAAGAGGAATACTCAGGACAGGACCACAGTGAAGGATGTCCAGGTTAACAACTAACAAAAGGGTTAATACTGCCAGAGTTATTTTCTTTCAGCCTTTTTTTATAGAGAATCAATTTGCATATTGTATTGGAATAAATTTTCATATTGAATATGCATGGTAAAATTGCATATTAAAATAATGTATACATAATGTGTATTGAATATGTATGGAGACTAAAATTTGCATATATTGAATACATATGAACATAATTTTTGTATGAAGATTTGATTTTAAGGTGGGGGGGGCAGAGATTGAAAATAACTAAATTCTGACAACAACGACTGAGGAATGATCAAGGTTGTTCTGTATATGGATGTTAGTGTTTAATGTATGTATCGTCCTATATCAATATTTAAATCTCTATGATCATCTAAGTATAGTCTGACTTCTGTCTACTCTCCTTAATTCTCCAGCTGGTTCATATACACATGTACCTGGTCAATTACTTACTGTAAACATATGTTCATCAGTGGAAATCTGATTTTCCTTTCATGCCCTAACTAATGACACATTTGCAAAGAAAGATGTACATGCTTATTTTATAATTAGCAGGATTCCTGTGTTAAAACTTGATACAGCTGTAAAATATCACTTGTTTTGTTGTCAACCTAATCACATGTGACTTTAAAGCAGAAAATAAAACAAAATTTGTATTGTAAGATCACCACTTAAATATGTGTGTTTACAGTATGATTATCACATAAAATCCTGGTGAAATATTATGTAAATTTCCTATTTATTATAATATACAGCTCAGGGTAGTTTGTATACATATCTAAAATAGCAAAAAACTATGTTCAAATATTCGTTTGAGTTAAATGCTCTTATAAGTGAAGAGGGAAAAGTTGTTTTCTTTCAAAAAAGAAAGTATTCATATGAAAATGGTTAAAATTGATGCAAATGATAAATAATGAAATGTAATGATGTGTTATCAACAGCAGGGTCACATGACCTGATCAGATTACATCCATTGATTACATTCAAATTCTCATAAAAATCGAAGAATTGGTAAAATATATAATTAACAGAAAATGCTTGTCATTTGATTGAACTTTGATGAAATTCCATTTTTCTTACAGGTCAAGTCCATTTCTAACAAAAAAGATATTAAAAATTTTAGAATTTTTAGCATTTTTCACGTTTTTTTAGTTAAAGATTTATAATGTCATATATTTATCATCTTGAATGGAAAAAAACTAGATTTCATCTCGAATATTGTTCAAAGTATTATAATTTTTGTTCTTGACTCAGAACCCAAACTTCAGTACATTTCAAACGTTTAACAGACCATTTACCTACAACTAAAGATAATTGTATTTGATTCTTTCCGTTTCAAACATTTGACAGACCCAAACTCAGATCGTGCCTAAAAGTAAAACCGAGGATGAGATTCGGGCAACCTCTGCCCTCAGTCGTGCTTCGCTGAGGAAAGAGTATCGTAACAAACTGGGGGAAGTACGGGCAGCCGTGGAGGACCGCAGAACCAAGTCACCCGCGATCTCTATTCCCTCACAGAGGTCACTGGAGGACGACCAGCTCATAGATGAGGATGACGACGACGATATACCCTACAATGATATTGAAGGTCAGAGGTTAATTATGTTAAAGGTTAAAAGTCAGAACAAATATTATTTGACCTACTGTGAATGTTCTAGATTGAATGTGAGACGTGACTTATGTTAAAGGATGCCCATACCACGGCCAGAAACTGAAACTATGTATTGGAAACTGATTATTCTGGCAACTCTTTTCTGAAAAGAAAATCATCCCTTACAGGCTTTTCATGCAAAAATAATAAATAAACATACTGGTAAGTAATAACTATATCATAGTCACACTGTGCTACAGTTATATATCATAGCCACAATGTGCTACAGTTATATATCATAGCCACACTGAGCTACAGATATATATCATAGCCACACTGTGCTACAGTTATGTATCATAGCCACACTGTGCTACAGTTATATACCATAGCCACACTGTGCTACAGTTATATATCACAGCCACACTGTGCTACCGTTATATATCATAGCCACACTGTGCTACAGTCATATCTCAAAGCCACACTGTGCTGCAGTTATATATCATAGCCACAATGTGCTACAGTTATATATCATAGCCACACTGTGTTACAGTTATATCATAACCACACTGTGCTACAGTCATATATCATAGCCACACTGTGCTACAGTAATATATAATAGCCACACTGTGCTACAGTTATATCATAATCACACTGTGCTATAGTTATATATCATAGCCACACTGTGCTACAGTAATATATAATAGCCACACTGTGCTACAGTTATATATCATAGCCGCACTTTGCTATAGTTATATCATAGCCACACTGTGTTACAGTTATATCATAACCACACTGTGCTACAGTTATATATCATAGCCGCACTTTGCTATAGTTATATCATAGCCACACTGTGCTACAGTTATATCGTAGCCACACTGTGCTACAGTTATATCATAGCCAGACTGTGCTACAGTTATATATCATAACCACACTGTGTTACAGTTATATTATAACCACACTGTGCTACAGTTATATATCATAGCCAGACTGTGCTACAGTTATATCATAGCCACACTGGGCTACAGTTATATATCATAGCCACACTGTGCTACCGTTATATATCATCGCCACACTGTGTTACAGTTATATATCATAGCCATACTGTGCTACAGTTATATATCATAGCCACACTTTGCTACAGTTATATCATAGCCACATTGTGCTTCAGTTATATCATAGTCACACTGTGCTACAGTTATATCATAGCCACATTGTGCTTCAGTTATATCATAGTCACACTGTGCTACAGTTATATATCTTAGCCACACTGTGCTACAGTTATACATCATAACCACACTGTGCTACAGTTATATATCATAGCCAGACTGTGCTACAGTTATATATCATAACCACACTGTGTTACAGTTATGTCATAACCACACTGTGCTACAGTTATATATCATAGCCATACTGTGCTACAGTTATATATCATAGCCACACTGAGCTACAGATATATATCATAGCCACACTGTGCTACAGTTATGTATCATAGCCACACTGTGCTACAGTTATATACCATAGCCACACTGTGCTACAGTCATATATCATAGCCACACTGTGCTACAGTAATATATCATAGCCACACTGTGCTACAGTTATAGCATAGCCACACTGTGCTACAGTTATATATCAAAGCCACACTGTGCTGCAGTTATATATCATAGCCACAATGTGCTACAGTTATATATCATAGCCACACTGAGCTACAGATATATATCATAGCCACACTGTGCTACAGTTATACATCATAACCACACTGTGCTACAGTTATATATCATAGCCGCACTTTGCTATAGTTATATCATAGCCACACTGTGCTACAGTTATATATCCTAGCCGCACTGTGCTACAGTTATATATCATAGCCACAGTTTGCTATAGTTATATCATAGCCACACTGTGTTACAGTTATATCATAACCACACTGCGCTACAGTTATATATCATAGCCACACTGTGCCACAGTTATATATCAAAGCCACACTGTGCTGCAGTTATATATCATAGCCACACTGTGCTCCAGTTATATATCATAGTCACACTGTGCTACAGTTATATATCTTAGACACACTGTGCTACAGTTATACATCATAACCACACTGTGCTACAGTTATATATCATAGCCGCACTTTGCTATAGTTATATCATAGCCACACTGTGTTACAGTTATATATCATAGCCATACTGTGCTACAGTTATATATCATAGCCACACTGAGCTACAGATATATATCATAGCCACACTGTGCTACAGTTATGTATCATAGCCACACTGTGCTACAGTTATATACCATAGCCACACTGTGCTACAGTTATATATCACAGCCACACTGTGCTACCGTTATATATCATAGCCACACTGTGCTACAGTCATATATCATAGCCACACTGTGCTACAGTAATATATCATAACCACACTGTGCTACAGTTATATCATAGCCACACTGTGCTACAGTTATATATCATAACCACACTGTGTTACAGTTATATCATAACCACACTGTGCTACAGTTATATATCATAGCCACACTGTGCTACAGTTATATTCAAAACAAAATTAAAGGGAAGTTTCAGTATATACGAAAAACCACTGTGCAATGGGACAGGGATCCTTAAGATTAAAATTGTGTTACAAGAGACTGATCTGGTTGGATTTCCAAATAATACAAGCATGTAAAAGGTTGTTTTTTTTTTTTTTAAATATTTGTAGACTGGAGCTAGGTTGCCGTAGTTTGTGGGTTTGGGTTTGTGGGTTTGTGGGTTTGTGGGTTTGGGGATTCATGAAGCCATCGATTAACCCACTGGTATTTTGAATGAAAACTATTACAACAAGTTCATTGATGGCGAGATAAATGTTTTAAAGATTACACCATTATGCTTATTTCACCTACAATCGACAAAAATGTCAAACAGTGAATCATTGTGCAAGGTCAAAGGCTGTGATGATATAGGTCAAAAGTTAATAACAACAGTTTTAGAATCTGGATAAAAATTATGATGAGGACACTGTCTGAGTTTGCAAAGGATAAAATAGCTAATATGGAGTGTAATTAAAGGCTAGGCTTACTGGAGAGTTATTGTTTTGTTGTAGAATTGAAGAAAGAACAAACAATGGAAATGGGGACTTCCCCACCTCCAGGTCAGAAAGGTCAAAGTTCATCAAGGTAAGTCAATGTTATAGATGTATGTGTATCAAGTATATTATAACCAAATGGCACCATTTCTAGTTCTCTTAAAATCCATTGTTTGTATTTTCATGTTTTGATATGATGTTTAATCAATTGCAGGTTGTCACAAATTTCTGGGGACCATCCAATCGTCACTGAGTACCTGCGCCTGTACGAGGGAGTGGTCGAGTTTAGAGGCATCCTCAGCAAACTCATGGTGGATAGAGGTAAGATTATAATGGTCAACCATAATGGTGGATAGATGTAGGATTGTAATGGTCAATCATAATGGTGGATAGAGATAGGATTGTAATGGTCAACCGTAATGGTGGATAGAGATAGGATTGTAATGGTCAATCATAATAGTGGATAGAGGTAGGATTGTAATGGTCAATCATAATGGTGGATAGAGATAGGATTATAATGGTCAATCATAATGGTGGATAGAGGTAGGATTGTAATGGTCAACCACAATGGTGGATAGAGGTAGGATTATAATGGTCAATCATAATAGTGGATAGAGATAGGATTGTAATGGTCAATCATAATGGTGGATAGAGGTAGGATTGTAATGGTCAACCACAATGGTGGATAGAGGTAGGATTGTAATGGTCAACCATAATGCAAGCTATTAATTCTGTATTTCTGTTTCACTATTTTTGTAGAATTTAAGTTAAGAATTTTTGAGCAGACCATAAATCTGTAAATAATTTTGTTTAAATTTTTATTGCATTAACACATTTCTTTATCAATAATTCATGAAAGAAGTTGAACTCATAATGTCACAGTTTACAATTAAGTTTAGCATCAAATTGCCAAAAATAAACAGTCAATGAAACTCATGTAATCCAATCCTGAAGAATTCTGACACCCTGTATCGTAGGTCATGTCTGAATCTACATAATGCTGTATTCCCATTTCTATCAAGACTGCTTTCTGATAACTAATGACCAACATGTTATTTGTAACAGGATTTTGGATTAGAAAAGTTCATATTACACAGGTTAATCCTACCAATATTTTATGTCCTACAGGGTGTCTGAGAAGACAGGTTAATATGGACAATATATTATGTCCTGCAGGGTGTCAGATTAGACAGTATATTATGGCCAATAGGTTGTGTCCCACAGGGTGTCAGATTAGACAGGTTTCACCTGAACTCCTCCCCATTTCAGATATGCTGCAGCCGAGTGAAATCCTGGAGGATATTGACATGATGAAGTTTAATGGTACTGGCAAGGTGGAGCCCCAGCTAGAGCACATGACACACAATGTTTTTCATGGTAAGCTACCTGTGTATGGAAACAACCTGAATATAATGATCAACTGTATATAAAACCACCTGTATAGAATGACCTCTTTGTAAAATATATGATTGAGGATATAGTGGTGTAAAAATGACAGAATTAAGGTAGTCTGTCTTGATATTTTACCTGGATAAAGATCAGACTACACGATGGTTCAAGTGAGTCTTCCTAAATCTCAGTATACTGATCATGTTACTGAAACACTCTGTAACAAGAGAGTATAGACAGGTGTCTGTAGTGACTGTAACAAGAGGGTATAGACAGGTGTCTGTAGGTGTCTGTAGTGACTGGAACGAGAGAGTATAGACTGGTGACTGTAGTGACTGTAACGATAGAGTATAGACAGGTGTCGGTAGTGACTGTAACAAGAGAGTATAGACAGGTGTCTGTAGTGACTGTAACTAGAATGTATAGACAGGTGTCTGTAGTGACTGTAACTAGAGAGTATAGACTGGTGTCTGTAGTGACTGTAACGAGAGAGTATAGACAGTTGTCTGTAGTGACTGTAACTAGAGAGTATAGACAAGTGTCTGTAGTGACTGTAATGATAGAGTATAGACAGGTGTCTGTAGTGACTGTAACTAGAGAGTATAGACAGGTGTCTGTAGTGACTGTAACGAGAGAGTATAGACAGGTGTCTGTAGTGACTGTAACTAGAGAGTATAGACAGGTGTCTGTAGTGACTGTAACAAGAGAGTATAGACAGGTGTCTGTAGTGACTGTAACAAGAGAGTATAGACAGGTGTCTGTAGTGACTGTAACAAGAGAGTATAGACAGGTGTCTGTAGTGACTGTAACAAGAGAGTATAGACAGGTGTCTGTAGTGACTGTAACAAGAGAGTATAGACAGGTGTCTGTAGTGACTGTAACAAGAGAGTATAGACAGGTGTCTGTAGTGACTGTAACAAGAGAGTATAGACAGGTGTCTGTAGTGACTGTAACAAGAGAGTATAGACAGGTGTCTGTAGTGACTGTAACAAGAGAGTATAGACAGGTGTCTGTAGTGACTGTAACAAGAGAGTATAGACAGGTGTCTGTAGTGACTGTAACAAGAGAGTATAGACAGGTGTCTGTAGTGACTGTAACAAGAGAGTATAGACAGGTGTCTGTAGTGACTGTAACTAGAAAGTATAGACAGGTGTCTGTAGTGACTGTAACTAGAGAGTATTTACAGGTGTGTGTAGTGACTGTAACAAGATAGTATAGACAGGTGTCTGTAGTGTCTGTAACAAGAGAGTATAGACAGGTGTCTGTAGTGACTGTAACAAGAGAGTATAGACAGGTGTCTGTAGTGACTGTAACGAGATAGTATAGACAGGTGTCTGTAGTGACTGTAACAAGAGAGTATAGACAGGTGTCTGTAGTGACTGTAACTAGAAAGTATAGACAGGTGTCTGTAGTGACTGTAACGAGAGTATAGACAGGTGTCTGTAGTGACTGTAACTAGAAAGTATAGACAGGTGTCTGTAGTGACTGTAACTAGAGAGTATTTACAGGTGTGTGTAGTGACTGTAACAAGATAGTATAGACAGGTGTCTGTAGTGACTGTAACTCGAGAGTATAGACAGGTGTCTGTAGTGACTGTAACTAGAAAGTATAGACAGGTGTCTGTAGTGACTGTAACTAGAGAGTATTTACAGGTGTGTGTAGTGACTGTAACAAGATAGTATAGACAGGTGTCTGTAGTGACTGTAACGAGAGAGTATAGACAGGTGTCTGTAGTGACTGTAACAAGAGAGTATAGACAGGTGTCTGTAGTGACTGTAAAGTGAGAGTATAGACAGGTGTCTGTAGTGACTGCAGTAACAAGAGAGTATAGACAGGTGTCTGTAGTGACTGTAATGAGAGACTACAGACAGGTTTCTGTAGTGACTGTAACGAGATAGTATAGACAGGTGTCTGTATTGACTGTAACTAGAGAGTATAGACAGGTGTGTGTAGTGACTGTAACGAGAGAGTATAGACAGGTGTCTGTAGTAAATGTAACGAGATAGTATAGACAGGTGTCTGTAGTGACTGTAACAAGAGAGTATAGACAGGTGTCTGTAGTGACTGTAACCAGAGAGTATAGACTGGTGTCTGTAGTGACTGTAACGAGAGAGTACAGACAGGTGTGTGAAGTGACTGTAACGAGATAGTAGAGACAGTCGTGTGTAGTGACTGTAACGAGAGTATAGACAGGTGTCCATAGTGACTGTAAAGTGAGAGTATAGGCAGGTGTGTGTAGTGACTGTAAAGTGAGAGTATAGACAGGTGTGTGTAGTGTCTGTAAAGTGAGAGTATAGACAGGTGTGTGTAGTGTCTGTAAAGTGAGAGTATAGACAGGTGTGTGTAGTGACTGTAACGAGAGTATAGACAGGTGTCCATAGTGACTGTAAAGTGAGAGTATAGGCAGGTGCGTGTAGTGACTGTAAAGTGAGAGTATAGACAGGTCTGTAGTGACTGTAACGAGAGAGTATAGACAGGTGTCTGTAGTGACTGTAGTGATAGACTACAGACAGGTGTCTGTAGTGACTGTAAAGAGAGAGTATAGACAGGTGTCTGTAGTGACTGTAGTGATAGACTACAGACAGGTGTCTGTAGTGACTGTAAAGTGAGAGTATAGATAGGTGTGTGTAGTGACTGTAACTAAAGAGTATAGACAGGTGTCTGTAGTGACTGTAACTAGAAAGTATAGACAGGTGTCTGTAGTGACTGTAACTAGAAAGTATAGACAGGTGTCTGTAGTGACTGTAACTAGAAAGTATAGACAGGTGTCTGTAGTGACTGTAACTAGAAAGTATAGACAGGTGTCTGTAGTGACTGTAACTAGAAAGTATAGACAGGTGTCTGTAGTGACTGTAACTAGAGAGAATAGACTGGTGTCTGTAGTGACTGTAACTAGAGAGTATAGACAGGTGTCTGTATTGACTGTAACTAGAGAGTATATACAGGTGTCTGTAGTGTCTGTAACGAGAGAGTATAGACAGGTGTCTTTAGTGAATGTAACGAGAGAGTATAGACAGGTGTCTGTATTGACTGTATCTAGAGAGTATAGACAGGTGTCTGTTGTGACTGTAACGAGAGAGTATAGATAGATGTCTGTATTGACTGTAACTAGAGAGTATAGACAGGTGTCTCTAGTGACTGTAACTAGAGAGTATAGACAGGTGTCTGTAGTGACTGTAAAGAGAGTATAGACAGGTGTCTGTAGTGACTGTAACTAGATAGTATAGACAGGTGTCTGTAGTGACTGTAACGAGATAGTATAGACAGGTGTCTGTAGTGACGGTAAAGTGAGAGTATAGACAGGTGTCTGTAGTGACTGTAACTAGAGAGTATAGACAGGTGTCTGTAGTGACTGTAATGAGATAGTATAGACAGGTGTCTGTAGTGACTCTTATTGAGATAACTTTGTTGGACTTTTTCTATTTCAGTGTTTGAGGAGATTATCACGGTGTTATCTTCCTTACTTCTGGCTGACAGGGTAAGTTAGATCTGAGTCGCCTCCCCATCTGATCCTCCATCCTATTACCTGATATAACTGTACTGGTACATTTAAATCAGATAATAGATTTACTTCCTTAACTCATTCACCTCTAAAGACACATTTTACCTCTTTCAATTAAGAGGTTGGAATAGTTCATTATACAATTTCAGGGGTGAAAGAGTTAAGTAAGGAATAGGTTGTGTTTTGAAATTTTAAATGACTTCTTCTGCTGAGCAATATCATGCATAGAGTTGGGTAGGTTATGTGGAGGGAAGGACATCAATATTGTTTAATTTATACTGCATCCACTTTCAAAAGGTTAATTGGGTCAAATATGCAAGAAACAAAAAAATATAAATCAAGGTGAGCAATTAAGATATTAGGACCATTGTTTAAATTTTTATTGCGAGTCTAATGACAAATAAGGGAGTGTCTATTTATCCTCAATGAAACAAAAACACCTCTGCTTATCAACCCACAACCACTTCACTTATCAACTCCCGCCCCAATATTAAAAAGACTCAATAAGAAATACATCGAATGATGACAGCTTTAACATATTACAGGAGCCAATGGTATCGTCCCTTACTGGAGGGGGTATGATGATGTCCCGAGATACCACACAGGCCATGGTTGGTCCCAAGTCAGCAGAGTCAGGTCGTGGTCCCACAGTAACACGCGCCAGTCATCACTCTCAGTTTTCCGCAAAAAGTGATGTGTCGGAACGTATCGCCCTCCGGGAGCTTCAGGAACAGTATGATCGACTGTAAGTAAATAAGCTATCCCTGTACTGGTACAATGATCCCTGACTTTACTGACACCTGGCTTTACTGACAGTTGACGTCAATGACACCTAACTTTACTGACTCCTGAATTTACTGACACTTGACGTCAATGACACCTAACTTTACTGACTCCTGAATTTACTGACACCTGACATCAATGATCCCTGACTTTACCGACTCCTGAATTTACTGACACTTGACATCAATGACACCTGACATCAATGATCCCTGACTTTACTGACACCTGGCTTTACTGACACTTGACGTCAATGACACCTGACTTTACTGACAGTCCTGAATTTACTGACACTTGACATCAATGACACCTGATTTTACCAACACCTGAATTTACTGACACTTGACATCAATGACACCTGACATCAATGATCCCTGACTTTACCGACTCCTGAATTTACTGACACTTGACGTCAATGACACCTGACTTTACCGACTCCTGACTCCGATGACATCTAACAATTAACCTAACTTTTAGCTTGAATCATCTTGGTAGGATTTTATGGTCCAAAGTGTCTGATTTCTCTTTCTTTAAAAACACGGTCTTACCTGATGAAATTTCTCAGTCCCTGTTAATGATGGAAAAGACAGGACCTAGTGCACACTGAACTTGTCACTAGCTTCTAAAACAAGATTTGTTTTAATTTTACGGGTTTTATGAAGATAAGGAGTAACCATTTCAAAGTGGCAAATACTTTCTAAAGTAAACTTTTATAAATTGTTTTTTCCTGGTTATAGGAAAAATGGATAGAATGAACTGTATTGATACAATCAAGTATGCTAATATAGCGTGACATGAACCATAACTGTAGTTAAACACTTTAATTGATGTTTTAAGAGATTTTCAATTCTGCCTAATCTTTGTTTATAACAATATTCCTATTTATGTGTTTTCTCATTACAGACAACATCAGCTGACTGGTGAAACACGGAAACATGATGAACAACTAAGGTGGGTTGTCATGACGACAAAGTCATCCATTGAGCATTAGGCTGCTTTTTATGTTTCTTTATTTTTTTGAAACATAGATACATTTATGTATGACTAAACCATTGGGGTCAGCAACATAAAAGAGACTGAAACCATGGCTGGCATCTGTTTAGCATTGTTGATGTTTGTTTTAGTATTTTGTAATTTAGGGTACATAGTTTTTAGAATCAGGAAAAATAAGCTTAAAGAATAAGCATAATGTGTACCATAGTGTCAATGTGTGTTTTTAGTATTTTTGCAATTGGTCTGGAGGTTTTAGAATTAGGGAAAATAAATGTACGCATTCTTGTAACTTATTGAATATCAAGTCAATGATGTACATATTTTTGTTACCATGGTAACAGGCACAATACCGTCGTCATGATGGAGATGCAGGACACCATTAACGATTTGCAGCGAGAGTTGTCCAACCTCGGCCGATCATCCAGCCGGCTCCGGCCTCAGTCCGACACCACCTCCCCACATGTAAGTAACCAAGCCAAGCATGGTCAAAGTTTTCTTACATTAAACTGACCTTACTTTACCTGGCAGAAATACTCACACAACAGATATTTTCTTACAGTATTTTTTAGTCCACCACTGGTTCCGGGGGAGTGCAAGAAGGTCAATGATTTGACCTTTGAACTTGTCTTTTTAAAATGTTTGTCCATAGCATATCTTCTGTACTATTTCACCTGGAGTAATCAGATTTGGTATACACAAACATCTTGGGATGGCGGAGTGCAAGAAGTATGTCACTATATCATCACTGTGACCTTTGCCTCCTGACATAAGTGTACTGTCTGTTAGATATAGAAATCATTCCCGGTGGGGGACTATATGGACTGCCTTGCTACACTCTGCCTTGTACATGTATGTAAGTCACTTGGTTACATTTAGAAGCCAATCCAGTTTTGATAGTATATATTTAATTGTCAAAACAAATTTTTCCACCAGCATCCGTTGAATTGCCTTGAAGTTTATTTTTGATGGTAAGTAGGGGTCTCGGTAGAGTGACAGTTCTAAAGGGAAAAGATAGCGATAAATGGAGCTTAATAATCTATTTCAAGGGGATGACATACACTGATTTGGTTTGACTTAGACATGTGTCTTTTATATAAATATATCTCCGAGTAACAGATAAAAACAAATCTTTACATGTAATAAATTATGGTCAGATTAATGATTTTGGTTTAGTCGGAGTCCATATTTTCAAAACTGTTATTTATTTTTGTTATTTTTTTTGCCAGGGGACGACAGATTCAGCGGTAATGTTTACGCGGCTAGACTCGGAGAGGAACTGCAAAATAATGAAACGAGCTGTGAATGATCAGAAAATGGAAGCAGATAAATACAAGGTAAGGGGAGACAACTCATGGGAGCAGATAAATACAAGGTAAGGGGAGACAACTCGTATTGTGACTGTGCGAGGGGGTTCGCTCCATCACATTTGTCAGTAGTGTGTAAAAAACGTTTTGAAAACTTAAGAAAATATATAAAGATAGACATTCCCTATCATTATCGCTAGACCAGATTTTGTGACTTCCTGCCCCGTTGCTTATAATGTATTTGAAAAATCAAATGGTAAAGTTGAGATGGAGAGGTATGATATCAGTGACTGTTGATAACTAATGCATACTTGCCAACTCTCCCTATTTCGAAGGGAGACTTCCGATTTTGGACCCTTAAATTTGGCATTTCTATCCAGTAAATTTGCTAAACTATTTCATTTGAAAGAACGACTCCAAATATGTCATTTAAAGGGGACTCATGGGGGTGGTATATTGAAACATTTTATTTAGGTTTTAATTTTGAGCATGCAAAAATCTGCCCCATGGAAATTTCAAACAGTTGGCTAGTATGCTTATGTGAAAATGTATCTTGTCAAAATAACAGTTACTTCTATTTTGGTTAGTTTTTTTATTTGAAAAAAAAGTTTTGTTTTTAGTTGTATTGGTTAATTTCAATTTGTATTTCCCAGGATGCACTGGTAAAGATGGAGGATTACGTGGGTCTACCAGCACAGAGGTTCGCGCATCTTGTTCGTAAATATGTCCACCACAGTCGCATGAAGGAAATTGAAGGTGAGCGATTGATTTTTTTCATTAATAAATTATTTGATTTTTTTTTTAACTTTTTAATTGCCTGAAATTATGATGTTTCCAGTATTTTAGTAATACTGACCAAATATGATTAAGCTGTGTTAACAAAATTCATCAAAACTTTATGATCATAATAAAGAGCAGAAGTAGAGGACAAATGCAGCTTCAAAATATGGTGCCCTCAATCTTCAGATTCAATCAATATTTGTTGTCATGACCTTTGTATAATTGACAAGATAATGTTGTAGGGGTAAGTTAGCATTAATGACAACAATTTGTAAACATGAGCAGTGCCTGTTGAATGGGTACAAGAACAGGGACCAATAAATCATAGAACTAGACAGGCTATATCATAATTATTTTGTTCAATCAGAGAAGTACAATTAATATTTTTGGATTTGCTATTCTTTTTCATTTTTTCAGAAAATGTCAAGAAGAGCAAAAGCCTGAATGAGAATGTGTTTGAGATTCTTGACAAGATGGAGGCGCTACAGAATGAGGTAAACTGATCTTTTGTCTTAAAATTACATTTATTTATTCTCATTAATATATACATTTATGACTGTAAAAGAAATTACCTATATTTAATCTTTGCATTTTAAATGACCTGTAGGTATAGTAATTCTGACCTTTACTTACAGCGAGCTAAGACATGGGCAGACAAAATGGACCAAATGGGGTCAGAAAGACTACGCCTGGCAAATCTTTTGATGGAGACATTGGACTCGATAGAGCAGGAGTCTGGCATATTCCTCATCAAACCCATGTACTCCTACCGTGGCAGGTACGTACCAAACAAACCATGTACTCATACCGTGTCAGGTACGTACCAAACAAACCATGTACTCATACCGTGACAGGTACGTACCAAACAAACCATGTACTCCTAGCACGACAGTTAAGGTACCAAACAAACCATGTACTCATACCGTGTCAGGTATGTACCAAACAAACCATGTACTCCTAGCATGACAGTTAAGGTACCAAACCATGTACTCCTAGCATGACAATTAAGGTACCAAACACACTATGCACTCTTACTGTGACAGGTACGTACCAAACAAACCATGTACTCCTACCGTGGCAGGTACGTACCAAACAAACCATGTACTCCTACCATGGCAGGTACGTACCAAACAAACCATGTACTCCTAGCACGACAGTTAAGGTACCAAACAAACCATGAACTCATACCGTGTCAGGTACGTACCAAACAAACCATGTACTCATACCGTGTCAGGTACGTACCAAACAAACCATGTACAGCTACCATGGCAGGTACATACCAAACAAACCATGTACTCATACCGTGGCAGGTACGTACCAAACAAACCATGTACTCATACCGTGTCAGGTACGTACCAAACAAACCATGTACTCCTACCGTGTCAGGTACGTACCAAACAAATCATGTACTCCTACCGTGACAGGTACGTACCAAACAAACCATGTACTCATACCGTGGCAGGTACGTACCAAACAAACCATGTACTCCTACCATGTCAGGTACGTACCAAACAAACCATGTACTCCTACTGTGACAGGTACGTACCAAACAAACCATGTACTCCTAGCATGACAGTTAAGGTACCAAACACACCATGCACTCCTACTGTGACAGGTACGTACCAAACAAACCATGTACTCCTACTGTGACAGGTACGTACCAAACAAACCATGTACTCCTAGCATGACAGTTTAGGTACCAAACACACCATGCACTCCTACTGTGACAGGTACACTGACAAAACAAACCATGTACACCAACCATGACAGGTACAAGTGTCAGGTACCAAACAAGCCATGTACTCTTAGCATGACAGCTAGCTAACATGCAAACCATGTACTCCTAACATGACTAGTAAGCTACCAAACAAACCATGTAATTATATAGAAGGTATGCTACCATAAAAACCATGTACTCCTCCTACAGAAGGTGCATTGCATGCTATGATTCAAACTCTGTATAATACTGGGGCACATAAACTATCATATAATCAAACTATGTTAAGTTGGTAGGTTTGTTCATCTGATATGCTGCTGTCATTTCGGCTTCAACCTCATCCCCTTATCTCTCCAAAGCTGGAAGTTTAACTCAGTTAATACAGATTTCCAAAAAGGCTAATGTCAGTCTGTAATACTTACAAAAAAACAACTTTAAGTTTCTATCAACCAATATTGGAGTCACTGTGCAGACTACAGTTATTGGATCGTTCAGGTTATCTCCCTTCTATTTCATCTCCTGGGAGGACGCGACACCCTGATTAAACAAACATGGTCTCCCTCAAATTACAGTTCAATAGGTACCATTGGGTGAACCTGCAGGATCATTTCTATAGCGGTACTGTCTGAAATTACAGTTCAATAGGTACCATTGGGTGAACCTGCAGGATCATTTCTATAGCGGTACTGTCTGAAATTACAGTTCAATAGGTACCATTGGGTGAACCTGCAGGATCATTTCTATAGCGGTACTGTCTGAAGTTACAGTTCAATAGGTACCATTGGGTGAACCTGCAGGATCATTTCTATAGCGGTACTGTCTGAAGTTACAGTTCAATAGGTACCATTGGGTGAACCTGCAGGATCATTTCTATAGCGGTACTGTCTGAAGTTACAGTTCAATAGGTACCATTGGGTGAACCTGCAGGATCATTTCTATAGCGGTACTGTCTGAAGTTACAGTTCAATAGGTACCATTGGGTGAACCTGCAGGATCATTTCTATAGCGGTACTGTCTGAAGTTACAGTTCAATAGGTACCATTGGGTGAACCTGCAGGATCATTTCTATAGCGGTACTGTCTGAAGTTACAGTTCAATAGGTACCATTGGGTGAACCTGCAGGATCATTTCTATAGCGGTACTGTCTGAAGTTACAGTTCAATAGGTACCATTGGGTGAACCTGCAGGATCATTTCTATAGCGGTACTGTCTGAAGTTACAGTTCAATAGGTACCATTGGGTGAACCTGCAGGATCATTTCTATAGCGGTACTGTCTGAAGTTACAGTTCAATAGGTACCATTGGGTGAACCTGCAGGATCATTTCTATAGCGGTACTGTCTGAAGTTACAGTTCAATAGGTACCATTGGGTGAACCTGCAGGATCATTTCTATAGCGGTACTGTCTGAAGTTAAATCCTTCAGTTAATGTTATGTACCTGGTAAATTGATAAACTAGAGTTAAATTTAGAATAGATTTAGAGTAACATTTCTGTGTCAACATACTAGTACAAGTACAAGGAATTGTATGTTTGACACACAATATTGTTGAAACACATCATGGATCATTCATTATGATTCAGAAGGTATCCCATATTGGTTAGCTTCTTCCCATATTATTGTTTAGGTTTTTCATCAAAGTTGAAGGTTTCAAAGTATACTTGATTGAATCTGTTTTAAAATCCTGATACTTCCAAAGAATTTCATAATAAAACATTTGTACATAGTGTCATTAAAACACTACCTAATTTAAACAGAAATTTTGTTCTGAAATCAAGTCTTACTAAATCTATGTGAATAGATGATTAACTTATATAATGACCCATATTAGAATTTTTCATTTTTTACTTTTTAAGCCATCAAAGCATGCCTGGTTAGCTTGACTTTTCAACTTTAATCTAAAAATGTTAAAACTTAACATTATAAAAAGATGATACTGTCAGGATCGTATAACTTAAACTGTTCTAATTTTGTAATAGATTTAATGAATTTTGGCAAAAAGCAAGCTTTAAGTAATTCTGCTTCTAGATTTAGAAAGAAAACTTCAGGGCGAAATATTGCTAGACTTCTTGCAAAACAGGGAGACTTCTTAAGCTTGCATTAAACTAGACTAAAACTAAAATTCCAATATCATTGTTAAGCTGATAGTGCTTTTTAGCATACATGTCTGCGATTTGTCAGCTGTGCTCAAATAATGAATTAAATAAATGTATACAAGAAGGTGATACAAACTTGAGTTTTAGAATTGGAAATACACTATCCATCACAAACACTTGTTCATTTCTTGATAATTAAAACCAAATTTGAGTTGGAGGTTAAAGTAGATATTTATTCCAGAAGAAAACTGACAAAACATGTTATAAAGCTAACAATACTTCTCCCTTTTTGTCTTTTCTGATGTTTGGGATTAGAATCGGGACAATTTAATAGATAGCTATCAATTCAATATGGCGGCCATTGTCTTCGATGTGGTTTACACACTGCGTTCCGGTGTCTAGATTTAATTAAGATCAATGTGACACAATAATGATGTATATTTTGTCGTCTGGATTTGATCTTGGGCTGGCTGGGAGGTGTTATACAGGTTTGTTTATATTAAGGATTTTTTGTGTTTATTCTTGAATATCAGGTAAATAATTATCATTATAACAGGTAGATAAATATATCATCAGTATATGGTATTGTCCTGTATAACAGTAAGTAAGTGATCACGTTAACACAGCAGTTCTCTTTGTCAGGTAGATGTATATGTAAAGTTAAAAAGTCAGAAACACCTTGTATATAATTACCTCTTTATTATCAATCTTCAGATGCTTTACACATAACTACACATAGATACAAGTCATGATGCCATTAACTCATTCACCCCAGAAATTCCATAATGAACTATTCCAACCTTTGAATTGGACGAGTTCACATGTGTCTTCAGGGGTGCATGATTTAATCAAGGTATACTAGCTAAAACGTCTGAAGGTTGATAATGATTTACAGTCTACGTGTGTCTGATTATTAATTTTTCACATACAAGTAAATATATTATACAAAGTAACATGCACCTATCAATATTTATATAAAACTGACTTTAAATAGTGCAGACTCGTCGGAGCAATCGCAGCAGGCCGACCCAGACTAACTTTAAGTATGAATGAAAATGAACATGTGAATAGTAATCCGGTCATTATTATAATAAAGGGGCTTGTACTTATCAATATTCACATCATAATTGTTTTTTATTTGTACAAATGAAATTAATAAAATCAATAATTAGAGGCAACATAAGAATATTCAAACAGTCCAAATTTCAGAAGCCATGTTTATATGACTAGTATTAATACAATTTGAATTATTTATCTATTTGTAAGCTTAGTGTCTTAAACACTGATGTTACGTAAGATGTCCACTCACTTGTGTGAAGTTAATGTTATAGTCACTTAATGTCATATTTCCATGTTGTCGCGTTAATACAGTTTTCACTGTATGATGATGGAGTCTAAATTTAATATAAAGCCAAGTTGACATTGATTTATTTCAGCAGGTCCAAATACCTGAATGCTCCTCTGACCGTTCGGTGAGGGAAAACTGTATTCTATATGTAACCAGTACACGTATCGGGTTGAATTTTCTGTGTGACCTGTTCACATTTATTTTATGCTAACAAGATAATTCATCCTTCAAATTAATATCCACACCCAATTTGTGCACAAACAGGAGCATGAATATTCATAAGATATTCATTACACCTATGATGAATATTCATCATGTATTTTTTCAACACTGCAAAATTGCCAGGAATATTGTATTGTATATTTGTGTGGAAAACTTGAATGTGAGGGTCTAAAGTGTCTGGTAAATTTCACATTTTCTTTGACTGATGTATAATTATGGTGTATATATAAACAACTGATGATATATTACACATATACCAGCCAACTGCTGAAGTTTACATCAACAAAATGTTTTATAAACGTAAAACCACAAGGCAAAGTAACAGCAGATATTTTCCTATGTAATACACTTCACTGTCACAGGTTTTAACACTGATCATCACTGGAAGCAAAGATTTGTAAACACTTTTTTTTTCACGAGATTATCTCCCTTTAATATAGGAGTGAAATTAGCGTGTCACCACAATATACAGGAATACCTTATTACCGTACTCTCATATGTGAAACCCCTCTACCCCATTTTACTCTTATTGTCTGTATAAAGTTTTGTACTTTGCTTGTTATATAAGAAGTGTTTGCATTCATAAAGCAATTTCCATAGAGCGAAAGTGAGGCAACCCCTGGAGTATCCAGTATTAAGAGATCAGTGAGGTTACCCCTGGGGTATCCAGTAGTAAGAGATCAGTGAGGTTACCCCTTGAGTATCCAGTATTAAGAGATCAGTGAGGTAACCCCGTGAGAATCCAGTATTAAGAGATCAGTGAGGTAACCCCTTGAGTATCCAGTAGTAAGAGATCTGTGAGGTTACCCCTGTAGTATCCAGTATTAAGAGATCTGTGAGGTAACCCCTGGAGTATCCAGTAGTAAGAGATCAGTGAGGTAATCCCTGAAGTATCCAGTATTAAGAGATCAGTGAGGTAACCCCTGGATTATTCAGTATTAAGAGATCAGTGAGGTAACCCCTGGAGTATCCAGTGGTAAGAGATCTGTGAGGTAACCCCTGGAGTATCCAGTATTAAGATATCAGTGAGGTAACCCCTGGAGTATCCAGTATTAAGAGACCTGTGAAGTTACCCCTGGAGTATCCAGTATTAAGAGATCAGTGAGGTACCCCCTGGAGTATCCAGTATTAAGAGATCAGTGAGGTAACCCCGTGAGAATCCAGTATTAAGAGATCAGTGAGGTAACCCCTTGAGTATCCAGTATTAAGAGATCAGTGAGGTAACCCCTTGAGTATCCAGTAGTAAGAGATCTGTGAGGTTACCCCTGGAGTATCCAGTATTAAGAGATCAGTGAGGTAACCCCGTGAGAATCCAGTATTAAGAGATCAGTGAGGTAACCCCTTGAGTATCCAGTATTAAGAGATCTGTGAGGTTACCCCTGGAGTATCCAGTATTAAGAGATCAGTGAGGTAACCCCGTGAGAATCCAGTATTAAGAGATCAGTGAGGTAACCCCTGGAGAATCCAGTATTAAGAGATCAGTGAGGTAACCCCTTGAGTATCCAGTATTAAGAGATCAGTGAGGTAACCCCGTGAGAATCCAGTATTAAGAGATCAGTGAGGTAACCCCTTGAGTATCCAGTATTAAGAGATCAGTGAGGTAACCCCGTGAGAATCCAGTATTAAGAGATCAGTGAGGTAACCCCTTGAGTATCCAGTAGTAAGAGATCTGTGAGGTTACCCCTGTAGTATCCAGTATTAAGAGATCTGTGAGGTAACCCCTGGAGTATCCAGTAGTAAGACATCTGTGAGGTAACCCCTGTAGTATCCAGTATTAAGAGATCTGTGAGGTAACCCCTGGATTATCCAGTAGTAAGAGTATCAGTGAGGTAACCCCTGGAGTATCCAGTATTAAGAAATCAGTGAGGTAATCCCTGGAGTATCCAGTAGTAAGAGATCAGTGAGGTTACCCCTGTAGTATCCAGTATTAAGAGATCTGTGAGGTAACCCCTGGAGTATCCAGTATTAAAAGATCAGTGAGGTTACCCCTGGAGTATCCAGTAGTAAGAGATGGAGTATCCAGTATTAAGAGATCTGTGAGGTAACCCCTGGATTATCCAGTAGTAAGAGTATCAGTGAGGTAACCCCTGGAGTATCCAGTATTAAGAGATCGGTGAGGTAACCCCTGGAGTATCCAGTAGTAAGAGATCGGTGAGGTTACCCCTGGAGTATCCAGTATTACGAGATCGGTGAGGTAACCCCTGGAGTATCCAGTAGTAAGACATCTGTGAGGTAACCCCTGTAGTATCCAGTATTAAGAGATCTGTGAGGTAACCCCTGGAGTATCCAGTAGTAAGACATCTGTGAGGTAACCCCTGTAGTATCCAGTATTAAGAGATCTGTGAGGTAACCCCTGGAGTATCCAGTATTAAGAGACCTGTGAAGTTACCCCTGGAGTATCCAGTATTAAGAGATCAGTGAGGTAACCCCGTGAGAATCCAGTATTAAGAGATCAGTGAGGTAACCCCTGGAGTATCTAGCATTAAGAGATCAGTGAGGTAACCCCTGGAGTATCTAGTATTAAGATATCAGTGAGGTAACCCCTGGAGTATCCAGTATTAAGATATCAGTGAGGTAACCCCTGGAGTATCCAGTATTAAGAGACCTGTGAAGTTACCCCTGGAGTATCCAGTATTAAGAGATCAGTGAGGTTACCCATGGAGTATCCAGTATTAAGAGATCAGTGAGGTACCCCCTGGAGTATCCAGTAGTAAGAGATCAGTGAGGTTACCCCTTGAGTATCCAGTATTAAGAGATCAGTGAGGTAACCCCGTGAGAATCCAGTATTAAGAGATCAGTGAGGTAACCCCTTGAGTATCCAGTATTAAGAGATCAGTGAGGTAACCCCGTGAGAATCCAGTATTAAGAGATCAGTGAGGTAACCCCTGGAGAATCCAGTATTAAGAGATCAGTGAGGTAAGCCCTGGAGTATCCAGTAGTAAGAGATCTGTGAGGAAACCCCTGGAGTATCCAGTATTAAGAAATCAGTGAGGTAATCCCTGGAGTATCCAGTAGTAAGAGATCAGTGAGGGAACCCCTGGAGTATCCAGGAGTAAGAGATCAGTGAGGTTACCCCTGTAGTATCCAGTATTAAGAGATCAGTGAGGTTACCCATGGAGTATCCAGTATTAAGAGATCAGTGAGGTAACCCCGTGAGAATCCAGTATTAAGAGATCAGTGAGGTAACCCCTTGAGTATCCAGTATTAAGAGATCAGTGAGGTAACCCCGTGAGAATCCAGTATTAAGAGATCAGTGAGGTAACCCCTGGATTATTCAGTATTAAGAGATCAGTGAGGTAACCCCTGGATTATTCAGTATTAAGAGATCAGTGAGGTAACCCCTGGATTATTCAGTATTAAGAGATCAGTGAGGTAACCCCTGGAGTATCCAGTAGTAAGAGATCAGTGAGGTAATCCCTGAAGTATCCAGTATTAAGAGATCAGTGAGGTAACCCCTTGAGTATCCAGTATTAAGAGATCAGTGAGGTAACCCCTGGAGTATCCAGTAGTAAGAGATCAGTGAGGTAACCCCTGGAGTATCCAGTAGTAAGAGATCAGTGAGGTAACCCCTGGAGTATCCAGTATTAAGAGATCAGTGAGGTAACCCCTGGAGTATCCAGTATTTAGAGATCTGTAAGGTAACCCCTGGAGTATCCAGTAGTAAGAGATCCGTGAGGTAACCCCTGGAGTATCCAGTAGTAACAGATCTGTGAGGTAACCCCTGGAGTATCCAGTATTAAGAGATCTGTGAGGTAACCCCTGGATTATCCAGTAGTAAGAGATCTGTGAGGTAACCCCTGGAGTTTCCAGTATTAAGAGATCTGTGAGGTTACCCCTGGAGTATCCAGTAGTAAGAGATCTGTGAGGTAACCCCTGGAGTATCCAGTATTAAGAGATCAGGCGACAAACAATTATTCATTGGTGCAAATTGTTTTTGTTATAATCAGTTAAAAAAGGCACTATAAGACTCTTTTTTTTTTTAAGTAAATAAATAAATAAATATAGAGTAAAATAAAAACATGAATCAGGCCACCTCCGGTTTATACTTTGGTATGGAATTGCTCCTGGTTAATTGACTTCCTCCTGTGGAATTATCTGATTTTTGTGAGGAGCTGGAATATGATCTGAGCAGAAATTAATTATATTAGAAAACTTTGGAAATTTCTTCATTTTATTTTCTTAAGCTATTTGCCATGTTGAACATTTTTCTGTCGACAACGTTGATGCATTCACTCTATATTTCCATGTATTTTCTGTACTAATTTAGTAAAGCAAAAGTTAAAAATATCCACAGGACAAAAATATCCACTTTTATTGTCCGCTACTTACCCAATTATCTTAGATTAATATTTTTAAATCAAAGAATTTTTTTTAAATCGTTAACAAATACGTTTTTGTTACAGAGATATTAAAGATGCTCGGTATGGAGGTAAACTCACACGGCCTATGAGGTCTCAACGAAACTTATCACCTCACAGAGAAAATCTATCTTCCTTCGCACCTGCGCCGACACCGGCTTCTAACATGCGCCTGATTAGAGGGCAGCCTGTTCCTACGACGCAGGTAAGTAGGTCACGGCAACCTAAATTTGTCTAATTTTTAGCCCTTCATGAAATTTGTCAGTCATTATTTGTCAAATTCTTGTTATGACTATTTTCATGGAATGCCATTCAAATTTGGTGGAATCATAAAGTGTTAATACAATGTATGATAGAGTGTTAATATGATATCTTGTTTTAAATGAAAGCAATGGGAAATTTCAGTGCGTTCAATTTTTTTTGCAAACATTTGTAAGTAAAGCCATGGTGATGATCACACCTCCACTGGTATTAGATTCCTAACATATGCTGACATGTTGTTTAGCTGTTGATGTGTTGTTTGCCTGTTAATCCTTTGTTTGTCGATATCTGTTGATTTGACACTTTCTTGTCGACAGTCAATGACACATGAAATAATGCCTAAACATGAAGCACCTCGCCCCCTGGAGGGAGATGAAGGGGGGATCACTGGTGCATCGCTGAACTGGGTTGGGACGTCCCAGAAGCAGACCTGGAGTGTAAGTCAATCTGCTGCCTTTATAACTTAACATTGTTGCCATCATTTCTACTCTTTTTGTCCTTTAATTGTGCTCCTCAAATTGTATCTGAGGGTTTTCAAACAGGAAAATGTGTCCAATAAGCAGTACATGGTTGCATGTTATTGAGTTAATTGGTCGGAGTTTTGAGAGCACCACTACATGGTTGTTATTGAGTTAATTGGTCGGAGTTCTGAGAGCACCACTACATGGTTGTTATTGAGTTAATTAGTCGGAGTTTTGAGAGCACCACTACATGGTTGTTACTGAGTTAATTGGTCGGGGTTCTGAGAGCACCACTACATGGTTGTGCAGATCTAAGTAAACAAAAAACTAGCAGATACTTCAATTTTCAGACTTATTGAAAAAAATAGTTGAAGGAATTATTGAAAACAAATGGTTAAAGTAAAGTTCTGTTGTTCTCCAGGGATAAATGTTGGTTATTGACACTTGACTATCTATGTATTTGTAGTGAAGGTATTAATGTCTTCATTTGTTATCTACCTTGCAGATGAACTCTTCTGTAGTGAGAGGAGATCCAGAAAATTTCCTGAGTTCACAAAATCCAAATGCAATGAATACTCCCCGTATATTAGAGCTTGATATTAACAGGATGCTGATTGGCCAAAATACTATCAGGTTTGTAACATCTTCTATCATATGAATACCGTGTTATGTCATAAAGCCACCACATAAATTATGTTTATGTAACGTGTGTAATATATCACTCCGGAAGTGACGTCACAATCAAATAGGAACAATCAATGTGACGTCATGTTATTGTGAAGCGGACGCAATTTCATTGTTTCAGAGGCGGCCAAGTACAAAGTATTTGTTTCAGATCACAATTATACAGTTTACTTTGTATCATATGATAAAAAGAATCTGTCTTTCTGATTCATTTCCATTCATATTAGATTTATGATACTCATTTTGGATTTTTCATCCAAAAAAACAAAACTTGTATCATAATCTAATATGAAGGGAAACTTATGACAGATCCTCTATATATCGTTGGTTTGTTTTGACAGCTAATATATTTTAGTTCTGATAAAAAAATCAGATTCTGTTTTGAATGAAATACCACTGCAAAGATACTTAAAGTAAAGGCAATATATAATGAGATGTTGTGATTAAGTAAATGAGTATGTTTATGTAAGTATCATTCTGATGTTTGTTTCCTGGTCTGATTGACAGTTCTAAGATCACACAGCCAGGTTTGACAGAAGATCGGCTGGTAAATGCCTCACAAAACAATCTACGATCCTATATCACCGTAAACAGGCCAACAGCCTTACCGGGAAATGCCCGCCCACGCTCCTTCGCAAGTAAGTGAATGATCATACAAGGGAGGTCACTGTTATTGACAGTCGGGGAGGTCACTGGTATGGACCTTCGGGGAGGTCACTGGTATTGGCAGTCGGGGAGGTCGCTGTTATTGACAGTCGGGGAAGGCACTGGTATGGACGGGCGGGGAGGTCACTGGTATTGACAGTCGGGGAGGTCACTGTTATTGACAGTCGGGGAGGTCACTGGTATGGACAGTCGGGGAGGTCACTGTTATTGACAGTCGGGGAAGTCACTGGTATGGACGGTCGGGGAGGTCACTGTTATTGACAGTCGGGGAGGTCACTGGTATGGACGGTCGGGGAGGTCACATGGTATTGACCGTCGGGGAGGTTACTTGGTATTGACAGTCGGGGAGGTCACTTGGTATTGACAGTCGGGGAGGTCACTGGTATTGACAGTCGGGGAGGTCACTGGTATTGACAGTCCGGGAGGTCACTGGTATTGACAGTCGGGGAGGTCACTGGTATTGACAGTCAGGGAGGTCACTGGTATTGACGGTCGGGGAGGTCACTGTTATTGACAGTCGGGGAGGTCACTGGTATGGACGGTCGGGGAGGTCACATGGTATTGACCGTCGGGGAGGTTACTTGGTATTGACAGTCGGGGAGGTCACTTGGTATTGACAGTCGGGGAGGTCACTGGTATTGACAGTCGGGGAGATCACTGGTATTGACAGTCGGGGAGGTCGCTTGGTATTGACAGTCGGGGAGGTCACTTGGTATTGACAGTCGGGGAGGTCACTTGGTATTGACAGTCGGGGAGGTCACTGGTATTGACAGTCGGGGAGGTCACTGGTATTGACCGCCCCGGGAGATCACTGCCAGGCATTGAGGCAATCAGGGTGTATATGTCACAGTCTTGACATAATTAGGGGAGGCAACTGGCGCTGAAAAAATCAGGAAGGTTAAACTAATGTTCAGACACAACCAGGAAGGTTAAACTAATGTTCAGACACAACCAGGAAGGTTAAACTAATGTTCAGACACAACCAGGAAGGTTAAACTAATGTTCAGACACAACCATGAAGGTTAAACTAATGTTCAGACTCAACCAGGAAGGTTAAACTAATGTTCAGACACAACCAGGAAGGTTAAACTAATGTTCAGACACAACCAGGAAGGTCACAATGGAATCAGTCAAAGTTTCTGTCATTAATGCAAACATGGGAGGTCGTTGTCATTGGTGCAATCTGAGGAAAGCATGTATCTTCACTGGCATGAAATTTAAAATATAATATAATAGGATTGTTTGTTAAAGGTTTGTTTACAATAAACATAATGTATATAAGAACAGTGATTGATATTATACTTTTGTTAACATTCCTGTATAACATTATATTTGACCCATTGGTTTCAGGCTCCGCAACTAAGGAGTTTGTCCCTCCTTCATCGCCTGTCAGTCAGAATACAAAGCGTGTGCGGATGTCAGACGGAGACATGTCGCGGACAGACATGTCACGTAACATGACTAATACACCCCCTCTACCACCGATTGGCAGTGCCAGCTCCCGCGAAATTCATGGAGGTATATATGTTATACAATAACGAAGGTTTGCTCTCATTTCCCTATGCATCTTTTATCAAATTTGTATGCCATATTTGTTTTTGATCAGGAATGTATATATAGGATCTTACATGAGTTTCCATTTCATATGAGATTTATGAAACAAGTCTAAGAATTTGAGGCTCGCTAAATTAAAAAAATTGTAACGAGTTTCATAAATTTCATATGAAATGAAAACGAGTGTAAGATCCTTTTTATCACATAATCAAGATTTGTGGCATTTATTCGTGTAAAGACAGTTTTCATGCAACCTTGAAATGTAAAAAGCCGCCATTTTGACTCCAGTGCGTAAGTCTGTGAACGTCATATATTTGTCCTAGGCGTGACGTCACAGCTTGAAACAATTGAAACTTACAACCAATCACATGGCTGATAGGTAATATATTACATGGGATAATATGCAAAAAATATGACATGTGTATATTCACTGGATAACACAGTACATTATGTGATAAATGTTACTCACTGATTCCCCAATTTCAGTGTCAACATTCTAACTCATTTCTAAACAGGGTTTGATCAAACATTTTACAAAGTCAGATATTTGAAAAATGATAGCTGAGATTTTTTTCATGGATTTGCGCTAAAAGCCATCGATCACTGTGGCTATTAGATTTATAGAACATCACAAATCAAATCAGTGTCATTACTCTAGCGACCTATTTATGGATTATGGGCGGACTTTATACAAAGGTCAGGAAATGGATGACTCCATATTTCACAATGCAAGGATCTACGATTCCTTTACTATGTGCAGAATCTTGTTAGACAGTTTAATCACACTGGAGTGTGAATCCAGTGTACATCCTAGTTTGAATTTTGATCAAACTTTGTACACAAGTAAATTATGAGAACATCTCTGAAGCGTTTGTGTTTCATGGTGGTAATCAAGGTTAAAGCTAAGGTCATTGTTGACCCTTAATGGAAAAATAGTGTCACTTAACTCCAGTGACTTCATAACTTAACATGTTTTAATCAACCTTCACCTATTTATAATAGAATAAAGTTTAAGTTTATTTTCAACAAACATATTTGATTTGTGATATCACTAGAAACAAGGTCATACTGTTATAAATGCTTGTCAAAAACTTTTAAATCCTTTACTATTTAGTAATGAATTCTTGACAAATGTCTTATTTTAGATTACTTGTTTTTGTGAAATTTTAGTCCGGATCATAAAAACCCTAGATCCTTTAACTAGCATATTATAATCAGCTCTTCCATTTACTTTCAGAACCCCCTCGTAGTCCCCCAGGCTCTTCCATGCGACAGTCACCTCCGCACGTACAGGAAGTGATTTCACCTCTGAAGTAATGGATTTTACTTGCTCTTCCAATAGGGATACTTACTCCCTCAGTTAAAGTTCACGATTGCTGTTCTTTATGGATGTCTACCACCCTCTGACAATCCCAGAAACATTGTACTCTTAATTTTGTTCTCTGGATTATATAAATTTTCTAATTGTTTGTATGTACTTGGTACTAGGACAGTGTTAGCCAGGTATGTCCCATTTATGGAGGACAGATTACTTTCCCGGCAGTAGAAGTTGCTTCCCTTTAGAAAAGGTATTGTCTAGTAAAGTGTATAAAATTATGCACAAGTGAAATAGATTTTTTGAGAAATCTATACCTGTGAAATACATTTTTTTTTAATTATCTTAAGGTTAATTGAAGGCTTTTTAAATGCATAATTCAATTCTTTTCTTGTTCTACGAATGACATTATAATACAATTTCTGTTAGTAAGGGAGGTAACTCATGCAGTTAGAAAATAACTCCTGAAAAAGGGAAAATACAAACAACAGTGTATGTCACAGTGTTTAACTACCTTATCATTGGTTTCTGACTCGACTAGAGGGAATTTACCTTTCGGTCAATTCCTAGAGCACTGCACTGGTGTGTTTCTAGGTTTGACTAGTAGCTGGGGAGTCTCTTTGAGAAAGTGACCCTGTTACTCTAAATATGATTGTACGCTGTTCCATAGGTGTCAACCTCTGAAACCTCCAATGAGTGAGATATTCCTGACATTCCACATTTCCAATGAGGGAGAAAGTGCGTCAAACACAACTGAAACTGCTTTGCTAAATTTCTCTTTCTCTTTTTAAGTATTAAAATAACTCCAAACAGCATTCATTTGATTCAGACACACCTCTTATGATCATTACACACATGATCACACGGATGCAGATTTTCAGTTTGTGTGAGTTTGGACATGAATGAAGGAGTTGCGAGGGAGATTGATAATTTTTGTCAAAATGGTTGACAGCTATAAAGTATTTACCTAGAAGGAAACTATGTGAAGTGGTGAAAACACCAGTCACTTGTTACTGACTTAGAGAGAATTTCTTTTCACTCAATATGTAGTGTACTAGACAAACAGTTTTCAGTCAAAGGGTGTTCAACTCCTGGCCAAGACAAGCAGAAGCAGTTACCTCAGTAATATAAAGAACTGTTTAGTGATGAATATTCGAGTAATTTGTAAATATTGATGTATACATGTGAACCACATGTTTTTGGTGTCATAAGCTGAGGTGAATACAAATATTGATAATGAAAATATACATTGTATAAATCATAGCCTGCTGAGTAATGTTGTTAATTTCATGTTATTAAATCAGTGCTCAAACGTATTAGCTATGAAATGTTGACACACAAATATATTAACACTCATTCCCCGTCACAAAGATCTATTGATGCTGTATAAATCAATATGACAGAAATATTGCCAATACCAGAACTTCCACAATGTGAATAGTATGCCGAGTAACATGCGAACTATTGCTCTTCATTTTGTTGTATTTGTGAAAACATCGAAATAATCTGATATGTGCTATATATAGACCTAAATTGTCTTTGAATAAAACAGGACTAGATCACATTTTACTCTCGATTCAAAGCTGATGTGAACCTTTCTTTTGTTACTTATTATAGTAGACTACATGGATGGAGAGACCTTACACTCTGGTTCATTATTACCTGTTGTATGTGTAATTATTACTGTTTTTGATGTATCAAATAAACATTTTTACTTATTTTTAAAAACCTATTTTGATATATTTGAATTTCAAATCTTACAAAAACTCTTATAGATTTAATTTAAGAAGTTATCTCATACCATTACACACAAGCAGTGCTAGAGTAATCCCCCTTGGAATCTATTTCATCAGGATTATATAATCTTTTAGATTGAACTGAATCAAGTTTATAAATCAAGTTTATAATTCTTTTATCTTTAATTGATTATCCAAATCAGATTACCATTTGAAAATATTTCTTTTTTACAAAACTTAAATAGCAACACTCTTTTTGAAATAAAATGCATTCTTCTCTAAGGTAACATACACTCTTGATTATGCAGCTTTTCATACCTAGCATCTTAAAATAAGTTAACCTGTATCCTTCCAAACAGCCCACTGTAAGGTGGTGTATCTTGTGCTGTGACAGTCTGTGTAAGGTTGTGTTCCTTATGTTTTGATTTTTGTTGTTGAATTATGACAATTAGCACCAGGAAATAACTCTTATATGAAATGTGACAAAAAGAAGCTTTTATTAAAACACAGTGTTGTATTCACAACGGATATGCTACCTAAATTTGAAAAGAGTGCAATGACAGAAAAAAGTTTGAACTAATACCAACAATCTCTCTTTGTGATATGTTTGATTTCCTAGGTTTTTTCTGGTGAATCGTTTCATAGTTATGTCCTACAGTATGACCGTTTAACATAACATTATTGTTTTTCTCTCAAGTTATGTAAATGTATAACAAATTGTTTAATGATTTGGATCACAAATCTCGTCAGCACCATGGCCAATTAAACCTGTATGAAATAACTCCTTAATCAGCTACTGTCATCTGACATAACAAGGGCGGTCTGTCCTTAAACAGGAAATTAGCGGTTATGTATTTAAATAGTGCTTAATTTAAAACAAAAAGACTTTTGTTTTATTAATTTGTTAAAATTTTTCCTTTTTGTACGAATTGTTGGTCGCTATAATATTCTAGTGACGGCGATGGACGATTTCTAAAATTATCATGATGGAAAAGTGTCTGTCAACAAAAATAATGAATCAATACCATACCTATGTTGGGTTAACTGATCAAGCAGTAATATGACTTAAAGTAATCACGTTTGTTGTAATTACATATTCACAAAATCACATCACGGATGTATTTGACGAGCAAGTTATTTGTTAGTTCGTGATGGTAAGTTTTGAGCTGAGTCATCGTGTCATCCATATGAAGCTTCTCAGAATGTGCCCAATTTTTGTAAAGACTTTCCATTGATGCTTTGAATTCATCCATTGCTAATGTCTTATGTCTGCAACAACCAATATCAGGTAAAAACAAACACAATTTTGATAGACAGTGCTGGCTTTCTTGTACAGCTGATTTTGAAGGAATATTGAACATTTTTCTTCAGATCAAATAATGAAACGAATACATAATGCTTGTTAGATTGTATTCCGTTTGTGTAATGTGTTTTGTAGGGGAAGGCTAGTTAGTTCCTCCCCGCCCCCCCCCCCCCCCCCCCCCCCCCCCCCCCCCCCCCCCCCCCCCCCCCCCCCCCCCCCCCCCCCCCCCCCCCCCCCCCCCCCCCCCCCCCCCCCCNCCCCCCCCCCCCCCTACGTAACGTACCTAACCTAGCTATAATGTCCACACTGATGTTTTATTTTAGACAAGCACTGATAAAGTATAGGAATCGCTCCTCTATAGAAATTATAATATATAATTTGCCTACCTGCCTTAACCCAGAGACGTATATATTACATGTTTGAGTGGGAAGCACAACATCTCATTAGTTTGGCATTGTGTGTTGTTTACAGAGTAATAGACCACGGGGGGGAGTAGACCTGTATTGTGATAGAAATTCTGTGATAGGCAGATCCCCTGGATCCCCACAATCTGTATATTTTTGTAAATAAACTTAACTGTCTAATATACAACACAGCAGAGTTGTTATCTTTATGGTTTAATTAGTTTAGCTCACCTGTCACAAAGTGCCAAGTCAGCTTATGCCGTGGCGCGGCGTCCGGCGTCTGTCCGTCCGTCCGTCCGCCCGGCGTCAATATTTTACTTTAAATGACTTTCTCCTTAATAACCGAAAGGCCAAGGTTGATGATATTTGGCCAGAAGCAAACTGGGATAAAGGGCTACAAAGCTTGTTAAATTTAATGACCTTCACCCATTTTCAAGGTCACAGGGGTCAAATATGTTAGAAACTTAAAACATTTTCTTCTCCATAACCAAACTGCCCAGGGAGATGATATTTGGCCAGTAGCATGCTTGGGTTAAGATCTAACAAGTTTGTTCAAATGAATGACCTTCAAGGTCACAGGGGTCAAATATGTTAAAAACTTTAAACAACTTGTTCTCAATAACCAATATGCCCAGGATAATGATATTTGGCCAGTAGCATGCTGAGATAAAGGGCTATTAAGTTTGTTCAAATACATGGCCTCCACCAATATTCAAGGTCACAGGGGTCAAATAAGTTAAAAACATTAAACAACTTCTTCTGAATAACCAAAATGCACAGGGGGATGATATTTGGCCAGTAGCATGCTGAGATGAAGGACTACAAAGTATGTTCAAATGAATGACCTCCACCCATATTCAAGGTCACAGGGGTCAAATAAGTTAAAAACATTAAACAACTTCTTCTGAATAACCAAAATGCCCAGGGTGATGATATTTGGCGAGTGGCATGCTGGGGTAAAGGACTATCAAGTTTGTTCAAATGAATGGCCTTCACCTATATTCAAAGTCACAGGGGTCAAATATGTTCAAAATATTTAAACAACTTCTTCTGAATAACCAAAATGCACAGGGTGATGATATTTGGCCAGTAGCATGCTGAGATGAAGGGCTACAAAGTATGTTCAAATGAATGACCTTCACTCATATTCAAGGTCACAGGGGTCAAATATGTTAAAAACTTTAAACAACTTCTTCTGAATAACAGAAATGCCCAGGGTGATGATATTAAGTCAGTAGCATACTAGGATCAAGGGCTACCAAGTTTGTTCAACTGTATGACTTTGAATCATATTCAAGGTCACAAGGAGCAAATATGTTCAAAATATTTAAACAACTTGTTCTGAATAACCAAAATGCTCAGGATGTTGATATTTAGTCAATAGCATGCCGGGATCAAGGACTACTATGTTTATTAGTTCACCTGGTCCGAAGGACCAAGGTGAGCTTATGCCATACCGTGGCGTCAGTCGTCCGTCCGTCCGTACGTCAACAATTTCTTTAAACGACTTCTTCTTAACCCCTGGTTGGAATTAAACTAAATTTGACTGGAAGCATCCCTATGTGGTGGGGATTCAAAATTGTACAAATGGTGGGGCTGACCCCCCAGGGGGCTGAGGGGCGGGGCCAAAAAGGGTCAATTTGCCCATATTGCTTTAAGCGACTTCTTCTCTGAAACTAAGAGGTGGATTTCAACCATATTTGACTGGAAGCATCGCTAGATGGTGGTGATAAAAAAATTGTACAAATGGTGGGGCTGACTCCCCAGGGGGCTTTGGGGCGGGGCCAAAAGGGGGCAATTTGGCTATATCGCTACAAACGACTTCTTCTGTAGAACTGTGCACTGGATATCAATCATATTTGATCAAAAGCATTCCTGGGAGGCAGGGATTTAAAATTGTACAAATGGTGTGGCTGACCCCCCAGGGGGCTGAGGGGCAGGGCCAAAAAGGGTATTTGGCTATACTGCTTTAAGTGACTTCTTCTCTGGAACTAAGTGATGGATATCAACCTTATTTGACTGGAAGCATCTCTAGGTGGTGGAGATTCAAAATTGTACAAACGGTTGGGCTGACCCCCCAGGGGGCTGAGGGGCGGGGCCAAAAGGGGGCAATTTGGTTATATTGCTATAAATGACTTCTTCTGCAGAACTATGCCATGGATATTGATCATATTTGGTCGGAAGTATTCATGGGAGGCAGGGATTCAAAATTGTACAAATGGTGGGGCTGACCCCCCGGGCTAAGGGGTGGGGCCAATAAAATGTATTACTTGGAAATGGTTGAGATCCCCACCATA